AGGGCAGGTCATGGCTTCATCATAGTCTCCGGGCTCAAAGATGATGGGTGCTCCTTTGAAGACCAAGACTGGCGCCCCGGCGACGTTGAAGGCAACGGCGCAGGAGGAGGAAAAAAGGTGGAGGCGGAGGAACTCGCCATGGGAGTCCTCAATAAGGAGAGGAGAGAGAGGCGGAGGTAGGGGTGGTGGCGAGATGGCGACTCGGCCACACGGCTGCACGTTGCTGTTGCAATGCTGGACTGCTGCGCTGCTGCACGGCGGGATGGTTGTGTTGTTGCATGACGGAGTTGGAGGGCTGTTGTACAGCTGGACTGCTGCACTGCTGCACGACGGGATGGTTGCGTTGTTGCATGACGGAGTTGGAGGGCCGTTGTACAGCTGGACTGCTGCGCTGCTGCACGGCGGGGGTGGTGCTGCAGAAGGAGGGGCGGAGGGGGTGCTGTCAGATGGTATCTTGATGGAGGGAGGGTGAGGAGACTGAGGTCGGGAGGTGGGGGCAGGGATGGGAGGACCAAAAATGGGATCCATGGATCGTGTATGCGGGCGATGTCAAAGAACAAGAGGAGGTTGATCCTGGGCAGGAGCGGGGCCAGGGGCAGGAGGGGCAGGATAGGTGGCGGCTGGGGCGGGATCAGAGGCGGAGGTGGAAGCGGGAGTAGGGGCAGGAGGAGGGGCGGAAGCGGAGGAGGGGGAGGGGGAGGGGGGAATTACCAAATCAGAGGCGTCGTCAGATTGACCAGAGGACGGGGGAAGTGGGGGAGGGGGAGGTGGAGGGACAAGGGGGGGAGGGGGGAGAAGAGGCAGAGAGATCGTGTCGGACACAGTGAGAGGGCGAGGGGTGACGGTAAGAGGGTCACTTGTGGGGGGGGAAGAGTAGTACAGGGTGGATTCGTCGAAGACGACGTCCCGACTACGTATGAGACAACCTGAGGGGGGATGGAGGAAAAGGTAATCAGGGGAAAAAGGGTTGTGCCCAAGGAAGATGCAAGGAAGGGCCTTGGAGGCAAGCTTCCCTGCTCTGCGAGAGCGGTCGGCGGGGTGTATGAGGACATGAGCCTTTGAGCCCCAGACGCGAAGGGGAGAAATATCGGGCTTGGAGGACGTCCAAAGCTCGGTAGGGGTAGTGGAAGGACGGAGGGGGTGGGGGTAGAGGTTAGTTAGGAGGGTCGCATGGAGGAGGGCATAGCCCCAAAGAGAGGGCGGGCACGAGGCATGGATTAGGAGACACCGAGCAGTTTTAGTGATCTCTCGAATCCGAGCCTCGGCCAGACCATTCTGCTCTGGGGAGTGCGGAAGGGTATGGGTATGGCGAATGCCATGGGAAATGCAGTATGAGGAAAACTGCTGGTTTAGGAATTCGCCGCCTCCATCGGAGTGGAAGCGACGAACGGGGCGCTTAAAGTGTGTACGGGCCTGCTCTGCCCAAGCGATGATCGCAGCCGGAGCCTCGGCCTTCGTTCGAAGGAGAGAGACCGAGGTATACCGGGAGTGATCGTCGACGAGGACAAGAAGGTAGCGGTGACCCTGGCAGGTAGGGGAGGGGTTGGGTCCCCAGAGATCCATATGGACAATGTCCAGGAGCTCAGGGGCATATGAGGGGTGGCTTTTATGAGGGAGTTGTTTCAGCTTAGCCTGAACACAAATGGTGCAGGGAGGGGCAGGAGAGGGAGGGAGAGGGGGAACGGTGAGTGGAAGGCCTTCGAGAAGGCCAGTGGCAACAGTGCGTTGGAGGGTGGCAAAATTGGGATGCCCAAGGCGGTGGTGGAGGAGTAGGGCAGGATGGGAATGATCCCGGCAATGGCATTGAGATGGGGGGGGTGCTGGAGGAGAGGAGGGACTGGTGGGTGTGGGTTGAAGAGGAAAAAGTGTAGGGGGGCCGGAGGGGGTAAGAGAGGCAGCCTGACACAGGGCGGGACGAGGAGTGCGAAGGGTGTACATATGAGAGGTAGGACATAAGGGGACACGGGTGATGAATCGACCGGAGGTGGAGTGATACAAGTCACAGTGGGAAGCGTGGCCGGGGTAGATCGTAGTCACCCCGACACGTTGGAGGGCACCTTGGGAGACAAGGTTAGTACGAAGTGAGGGGATGTGAAAACCTGTGACGGAGCCAGAGGGAAAAAGGGGACAGGGGAGGGTGGAGGTGTGAGTGGTGGTGATGGAGAAACTGGAATCTGCCCCAAGGATGGTGGAGGGGGAGGTGAGGGGAGCAAGATGACCGGCGTCACGGAGGACCGTGGCGCTTGCTCCACTGTCAATTACGAACTCAAGGGGAGGGGAGGAGTGGGTCCGGGAATACTGGAAAGAAGCTTCATTAATAGATTCGGGATACAGAATAGTGGGATCGGGCTGAGTAACATGACCTAAGAAACCAGCAGAGGGGAAGGGAGTGAAACCGGGAGGACCAGAGGGAGTCTGGGCAGTTGTGGCCGACATAGCACTCGAAGCGGAGGATTGCTGAGATGGGGGAGGAGGAGTTGGCTGCTGCTGCTGCTGTTACGGCTGTTGCTGCTGCTGCTGCTACTGGTACTGCTGTTGGTACTGCTGCTGGTACTGCTGCTGAAACGGATGTTGCTGCTGGGGGTATTGCTGCTGCTGCTGGGTGTACAGCTGCTGCTGCTGTGGAGGGAGAAGGGATTGAACCTGCTGGAGGACTTGGGGGGACAGGTGCTGTGCCAGGATCTGGCGAAGGGAGGACGGCTGATAGGCGGGAGAAGTGCGAACATCAAGAGCAGTGGGGGGCGGAGTCATGGATGACCAGCGAGGTGGGATACCAGTGTTCCTGCGGTCAAACCATTCATCCGTAAGTGCCTTGAAGCAGGTGGTTGTGGGATGAGTAGTTTGGAGGCAGCGCTGACCTTTGTTGGTGCCGTAACGAATGAGATACTGACATGGAGGGTAGTTACCGGGGCCTCGGCCGCTGCCACCGCCACGTCCACCACTGCGTCCGCCCCCGCGACCTCCTCCAGAGCGCCCCGCCGTGCTGCCACCACGTCCGCCAGCACGTCCACCACGTGCCTGTGCGGCATTCACGGTTGGGGGAGACTAGCGGAGGAGTTCCGCCTCAGTCTTTAGGATCCACGTGACGACCTCGGTGGAGTCAGGCGGGTAGCGGGCATGGATTTCATCGAAGGCCACCTTGCGCGTGTCAAACATCGGCGAGAGGCCGTCGAGGAGGCGGCACATGAGGAGGGAATCGGGAAGAGCTGAGCCGCAAGGAGCGAGGCGGCTGGCAGTGGAGGTGAGGCGCCGGGTGAAAGCAAGCGCGTTCGGGCAGCTATCGAATGTGATCTCGAGGAATACACGATGGAGTGCGAGGAGGGAGTTTGTGTCCTGCAGGTCATAGATGGCACAAAGCTCCTTCCAGAAAGAGGCAGAGGAGGAGGGATTGATCTCGCGTTTAAGGGAGGAAGGGACGCAAGCAATGAGGATGGAGAGGCATTTGTGGTCAGCTTGAACCCAAGCAGCATAGCGAGTGCGAAACTCACGAGAGTCTGCGGCATGCTGAGCAACGTCTTCGTCATACTTGAAGATGAGTGCTTTGGCTTCGTCGTGGGCGTTCTGCTTCTCGGAGTAGGTGTGTTAGAGAAGAGTGTTGTCGGCGAAGTCTTTGTCGTACTTAGTGCGGAGGCGAGCCCAGCGGTCAGGATCCGTGTTGTACTCGGGGTGAGTGGGCTTGATGGGCTCAGGTCCTGAGGGGGGATCAGGGGGGGAGGGAGGGCGGGGGCCAAGCTTGGCAGGGGGGGAGGGGGGCTTTCCTGCCTCAGTGTCCTCGAGGATATCGAGGAGGCAGAAGTCGTTGATGATTGTGGAGCCGAGAACTGTGGTGATGCTTTGCGCGAACGAGTTCCAGTTGATAGGAACCACACCATCGGCGAGTTCGAGTGCATCGATGGTGCTGATGTCAACCGCGAGCAAGTCCGTTGCCATGGCGGGTGGGAATCAGCTACCTGCAGCCAGCGACCAAGGACCGGCTTCCAGCAACGTGGGGGGAGGGGGAGGAGGAGAGAGGAAGGAGAAAAAGGACGGGTGCGCGGAGCGCAGCTCTTAAGTCGCTGCAGCCTTGGAATCCTTCCACGAAAGGGTCGTCGAGCGGCACGGATGGCGAGATTGCGCCGCGTGCTAATGCGTGATGCGTGCAACGAGTGGTGACGACGGGAGGGTCAGAAAATGCGGCGACGAGCAACCGCGAAATGCAGGGACGGAAAGGCCGATAAATGCGGCGACAAGAGGGCCGCGAAATGCGGCGACGGGAGGGCCGCGAAGTGCCGCGACAAGCGGCGAAAGGAGATCCGCGAAATGCGCCGACGGGAGAGCCGCAAAATGCAGCGACAAACGGTCGCGACAAGCGACAACGGGAGAGCCGCGAACTGCGGCGACAAACGGTCGCAACGGGCGGCGACGGGAGAGCCGCGAAGTGCGGAGACGAACGGCCGCAACGAGCAATGACGGGAGAGCCGCGAAATGCGGCAGTGGCGCGGAAATGCGCGCGGAGAGGGCACGGGGTGCGCTAGGGGGGGGCAGCGCGGAATGCACGGGAGCAAGGCGCAAAGTGCGCGGAGGGAGGGCGTGGGAAGGAACACACTTTCAGGATCGTTCTAGGAGGTGGCGTGAGCCATAGGCTCTGAATACCATGTGAGAAGAGTAGTTGATGATGTTATTGAAGAAATGAGGGTATACATAGGTGTGAGGGTAAGAAAGGGGGGGGGGGGGGTTTGGTTGGGACCTTGGCCAACATTATTGGTCCCCACCAATAATGGAGTTGGGAATTATTGGGGGGTCCAATAATCCCAGCCAAGATTATTGGAGGGTCCAATAATATTGGTAGGATTATTGGGGCCTCCAATAATTGGGAGGTCAAGCCCATTAGGGGGGGGGGGCAATAATGGCCAAGGTTGGAACCCAAACAAGGTGGGAAGCCAACCCCCAACCTAGGGTTACTACACCCTAGTAGAGATAGGTTGCTTACAATGACCTAAGCCTTATAAACGATGTAGGCTAATATAGAATAGGGGAATATTCTAACACGGTGTGGTGACATGAGCTTGCACCCTGGCGCACAGGGGGGCAAGAGGGGGAAGAAGAAGAGGAGCTTAGCACAACAATTTCCCGAATCCGTTGTGCCAAAACTGCCTAGAGATAAAAGGCTCACCGTGTGCGGATGACAGTGGGCTCACCGTGTGCGGATGACCTGCAGTGGGAAGACGAGTGTGGCGGCCACGGTGGCCAACACCGTGCCACACGCCAGCTGCAGCAGCGGCGCTGCCTCTGGGGGGTGTGCAGCCGAAGTGCAGAGGGGGGGATGGGAGGGAGAGAGAAGGGGGCAAGGTGCGGAGGGAGTGAGAAGGGGGCAAGGTGCAGAGGGAGTGAGAAGGGGGCAAGGTGCGGAGGCAGAGAGAGGAGTGAGAGCGGGGCCAAGGAGCGGGTGGCACACAGCAAGAGTGGGGCTAACGGTCAGGACCAGGGTCGGGGTCAAGCAGCTTATGCAGATGCAGTGCATGCTGCCCACCACTCAAGACCGCAGTGGGTAACTGGCGTCCAGCAGTGGCTGTCTGGCTTCAAACATGGGGTGGCTGGCAGGCATCCAGAAGTGGGTGGCTGGCCTCCAGCAGTGGGTGGCTGGCCTCCAGCAATGGGTGGCTGGCGTCCAGCAGTGGGTGGCGGGCTGGCGTCCAGAAGTGGGTGGCTGGCTGGCGTCCAGAAGTGGGTGGCTGGCCTCCAGCACTGGGTGGCTAGAGCCCATAGTGGGTGGCTGGCGCCCATCGCCGAAGTTCGCCCAGCAGCCAAGATCGCCCAACACCCAAGATCGCCCAGCACCCAAGATCGCCCACCACCCAAGATCGCCCAGCACCCAAGATCGCCCAGCACCCAAGATCACCCAGCACCCAAGATCGCCCAGCACCCAAGATCGCCCAGCAGCCAAGATCGCCCAGCAGCCAAGATCGCCCAGCAGCCAAGATAACCCAGCAGCGAAGATCGCCCAGCAGCAAAGACTGCTCACGGCTCAATCATGCCCTGCCATGATGCCATGATGCCACCTACGTGGCTCACCTGGGCGCCTTTCAATCCAGGGCGTGAAGGCATCCTTGAGCGTCTCGTACGCAGCCAGGTCGATGCCGGCGAAGGGGATCATGCCCAGGATGGACGGCAGCAGCCCACGGAACAGCGCGCCCACTCCCTCCCGCTGCACGATCTCCACCGTCAAGGCGGCTAGGGGCGGCGGACTTCGTCCGTACGTGAGGTGGTAGGTCTGCAGGCGCGTCTTGACGAGGTCCAGCGGGTACACCGCTGTCTGCGCCACCGCGCCCGCCATGACGCCCGCCACCAGGCGCGTGAGGGGCGTCTCTGCGGCCTGAGCGGGGGAGGGGGGTCCAAGGGAGGGTGGGTGAGGGATGTGGAGAGAAGCATGCGTGTGGTGTTTGGTGTTTGGTGTGTGTGTGGTGATGCAAATCCTTGCATCCGCTGCACTCACCTTGCTGCCAGCACCATCAGCAGCGGACCCCAGCGCCCGCTTGAAGAGCTCGTAGGCGTAGAACTTGATGGCGGACTCAGGCGCCACCTTGACGACGTTGATGCCGTTGCCCTTGAAGAACGCCGCCACACCGCCCTCCCCGTACACCTGCTGCGTCGCCCGCCACAGCGTCAGCCGCCCCGCACTAGTGCCGTGCCGCCCGGGCTGCAAGTTGTGCTGCCAATAAGGCGTGCTGGGCGGCAGGTGGGCGGCTGATGCTGCTGCAGAGGGTTGCAGTGCGAGAGAATGGGGTAGGGGAGCGGGGGTGCGGAGGAGGGAGAACTGCCAGCGGGGGTGGCGGCGGCGGGGGTGGTGGGGAGGAGGGGAGGAGGCGGAGGGGGAGGGAGGAGTGGCATGGGATGGGGTTGGGTGGTGGAGGTAAGTGGGGGCAAGTGATTGCGCTGCTGCTGCTGCTGCTGCTGCTGCTGCTGCTGCTGCTGCAGCTGGTGCTGCTGGGATTGTTGCGTGGGGTGGTGTGGCAGCTGACGAGGGTCTGTCAAGAACAGTCGCACTGGTCAGTCTCCCTGCTGCCCTCGCCGTTGCTACTACTGTTGTTGCCGCTGCAGCAACTGTTGGTCGGCTGACACCTTCACAAGATGCACCCGCCTTTGCACCCCCTGCTACTGCCTGCACAGCACTCACAGCGGCACCACTAGCACGAACAGCACTTGTGGCAGCACTACCAGCACTACCAGCACCCGCACCAGCAGCGGCAGTAGCGGGGCTGGCGGTCTGCTTAGCGCACTGCAGCAGCACCTTGAGGCGGTCCAGCGGCGCCGTGGCAGTACGCGACACGGCGCCTGCCACGCCGCCCGCCAGGAAGTAGCGCCAGGAGAGGGCGGAGGCGTCGAGGGACGAGGAGAGCGAGGCGGAGAGGCCCGAGGGGATGATGGGCTGCTCGCCTATGTCTACCTGCTGCACTCGCTCCCAGTACTGTGGGGGGGGGGTGGGGAGAGGGGGTGGAAGGGGCGGTGGGGGCGGAGTGTGAGGAGAGGAGGAGCTGGTGTCCCTCTGCTGCACGCTCTCCTAGTACTGCCGCATGGGGGGTTCAGGGGGAGGGGGGGGTGGGTGTGAGGAGAGGATGGGATGAGAAGTGGGGAAGTGGTGGGAGCGCATTGCAAGTCAAGAGGTGGAGTCACATGGTGGCAGGCGGCCCACGCACCTCGTAGACGGTGGCAACAGAGGTGGCGCGGTGGGGGAAAAGCAGCAGGAAGTTGCGCCACTCGACGAACGACAAGACCCTGTCGTGGTTGCGGTCCATGCGGTACATGATGGCGTGCAGCTCGCCGGGAAGCAGATGGATGCCTGCACACGACGGAGGGGAGAAAGGGGAGGGGGCATGCGTGACATGAGGGGCATGAGGGGCATAAGGGGCATGAGGGGCATGAGAGGCGTGGGGGCTATGAGAGACGTGAGGAGAATGCGAGACATGAGAGACATGAGAGACATGAGGGGTATGAGGGCATGGGGGGCATGGGGGGCATGGGGGCACGACGGACAAGGTGCCGTAGCCTCCACTGATGGTTGGAAGGGCAGCAGAGAGCAGCGCGCACCGTCCTGTTCAAGGGAGGCGGCGAGCTCTTCCATGGAGATGGAACCGTCAAAGTCGGTGTCGATGAGCTGGAAGAGGCGGTACAGCTGCACCTCCTTGCAGTCCATGTAGCGGTGGAACTCGGTGTAGTCGCACACGCCGTCGCCGTTCTGCAGCGAGGGCGGGGAGAGCGAAGGGAGAGGAGTAAGGTGGAGGACACAGAATGGTGGATAGAACGCTGGCGTGCAACGGCGGCTTGCCGGGAGTTCGAACGAATGAATGCAGCCCTACCTCGGTTCTCCGTGTCAAACGCCAGAATGGGATTCTGATGGGCTCTGATCGCCAGAATGCGATTCTGAAAGACTCTGACCGCAAGCACGGGATTCTGATGGAGACTCGACGCCCGAATGGGATTCTGACGGGCTCTGACTGCCACAATGGGATTCTGACTGGCTGTGACCGCCAGAATGGGATTCTGACGGGCTTTGATTGCCAGAATGCGATTCTGACAGACTCTGACCGCCATAATGGGATTCTGACGGACTCTGACCGCTGGAATGGGATTCTGACCGGCTCTGATCGCTATGGGATTCTGAGGGTCTCTGAGCGCCAGAATGGGATTCTGACGGGCTCTGAGCGCCAGAATGGGATTCTGACGGACTCTGAGTGCCAGAATGGGATTCGGACGGACTCTGAGCGCCACAAAAGGGATTCTGAGGGGTTGTGACGGCCAGAAAGGGATTCTGACAGACTCAGAGCGCCATAATGGGATTATGACGGACTCTGACTGCCAAAAAGGGATTGTGACGGACTCTGACCGCCGGAATGGGATTCTGACGGACTCTGACCGCCAGAATGGGATTCTGACAGACTCTGATTGCTAGAATGGGATTCTGACGGGCTCTGATCGCCAGAATGCGATTTTGAGGGACTCTGACCGCCAGAATGGGATTCTGACGGACTCTGACCGCTTGAATGGGATTCGGATGGACTCTGACTGCCAGCATGGGATTCTGACGAGCTGTGACCGCCGGAAACGGATTCTGACGGACTCTGACTGTCAGAATGGGATTCTGACGGAATCTGACCGTGGAATGGGATTCTGACGGGCTTTGATTGTTAGAATGGGATTCTGACGGGCTCTGACTGCCAAAATGGGATTCGGACGGGCTCTGACCACCAGAATGGGATTCTCACGGACTCTGACCGCCAGAATGGGATTCGGACGGACTCTGACTGCCAGCATGGGATTCTGACGGGCTGTGACCGCCGGAATTGGATTCTGACGGACTCTGACCACCCTGGGACGGGCTGTCAGCTACAGCGCTGCTGTAGCACCTCAACAACCCTGTCTCGATCTACTTGCTGATCCGCCCCCACCCCCACCCCCCCCTTCTCAGATCCATGTGACTGACGGCAGCAGCCCCCAGCCGTACCTTGAGCTGCAAGCAGTCACAAGGGAGCTGGCCCTCTTCTCCCCTAGTCTTGCCGCCAAGCCGCGGGTCATAGTCTTCAACAAGATGGACCTGCCAGACGCCAGGCAGTAGTGGGGAAGCTTCCAGGAGGCAGTGCGCGAGCTGGGGATCGGAGGGGACGAGGAGGAGGAGCGGGCGGTGGTGCAGGATGCGCTGCAGCTGCTAATGGTGTCTGAGAGCATGGCCATGTGCGTTTTGTTTTTTAAGCTTTTCTCCGCAGCTCCCTCGCACAGCTCTCCGCCCGCCTGGGCCTTGCTGCTAAGGGGGAGGGCGCGGGGGAAGGGGGAAGGGGAGGGGAGTGAGGTGGATATGGCGGTGCTGCGCCTGGCAGAGCACCTGGACGAGGCACAGAGACTGGCGAGGTGAAGGGTGTGGGTGAAGGTGCAATGTGCGGGGGTGAAGGGGTGACGGGGGACTGGGTGAAGGGTTTGAAGCAACGAAGTGCTCTCAGGCACTCTTCGCGAATCAAGGTTACACTTCGGAATAAGGCGTACATTCCTGCCTCAAACAATGTTCTTTCCTCCCCCCCCCCGTCCCCCCAGTTCCCCCCCCGCCCTCCCTCCATCAGGCTGCTGGACGAACTCAGGGACCCGCCCCCCCCGTATCTCCTCCTACTCTCCCCCCTGTCTCCCCCCTGTCTTCTCCTTTTTCTTTTTTATTCCCCAATATTCCCCCCCCCCTCTTTCGGTGCACCGCCAGGCTGCTGGAGGAGCTCAGGGACCCGCGCGTCCACGCCCTGCCGGAATCTTTCCCCATTCGTTCTCCAATCTCCTCTCGATCTCTCCTCCCCCTCCCCGCCCCCCCTCGGTGCACCGCCAGGCTGCTGGAGGAGCTCAGGGACCCGCGCATCCACGCCCTCCCGCACACTGCGCGGCGAGTTAGAAGCTTCCAGGAAGCTGTGTCATCGCTGATGTACGACGTGCTCATTGCCAAGGTAAGACCCCTGGCCCCCTGCCACTCCTCGCTTGTAGATACTGTGCATTCCTCTTGCCACTTGCCCTTGCTGCTCCTCTCTTGTCAAGTATGCTTTCGACTTGCCGCTTCCCCCTCTCCCATGCTCCCTCTCCACTCCTCTCCATACCTCCCCCTTGTTCTCCCTCTTCTACGTGACTCCCAGCATTTCCATGTCCATTGTCGTTCCTCACTCACCCCATCTCCGTCTTTCTTCTCACTTGCCTCTATCCCTGCCTCTCGCCATCCCTACCTCACTCTCCCCACCCCCAGGTGCGGCGGCAGCTTGCCTCGGTGTCGGCCATGCCGGACTGGGCGCTGGGCGAGTTCTGACAGCGTGTTTCATCTCCCAGCCTTCAACGCCTGCGCGCTGCATTACAGCAGTGGCTGAGTACCTACTCACGCTCCCTCTTTGTCTCCTCTATGGCATACCTTGCCCCCACCCCTGCATCTCTCCCCCGCCCCCAACCACAAGTGCAGCGGCAGCTAGCCTCGGTGTCCGCCATGCCGGACTGGGGTGTAGGCGAGGAGGACACCGCGTTTGACCTCTTGGCCTTCAACGCCTGTGCGCTGCCCTAAATCACAGCCGTGGGCGAGTACCTCCTCTCAGCAGCTCAAACCTCTCGCCGTGGCCGCCTCTGAAGCTGCCCCGAGCCTGCTCCTGCAAGCTTCGGCAAGAGGTGCTTCAGCGGGTGGGGAATCCGCCACACCGACAGCAGCAGGAGAGGAAGATGGGGGGACGTATTTTGTGCGAGAATGGATGACAAAGGTGGCGGATGGGGCAACTGCATTGTTTGTGGAGCAGATTCGGGTGATTCCCGAGGTGTCGGACAGGGGGGCACAGCAGCTGGCAGCGGACATAGAGTATTTGTGCAGCGTGCTGTCCACGCTGTACGTGGCAGCTTCCTGTGCTATTGCCACGTACCAACCAAGCCTGCTTTGTGACGCCCAAGGCTGGTCTGGCTGAGTTGACTACTCGAGAGTGGCGCCAGGGGGGGCTGTGGATGCAGCCACGGCTCGATTTGTCGTCAAAATGAGGCGGGTTGCGTTGGATTGATGATGGCTAACCGTTATTCCTCTTGAATCCTAGCAGTATTGAGCAGCGGTTAATCAATTCAAGTTTGAGGAGATTTTACCATCAGTTCTTGACAAGAAGTGGAGCCTCACGCTACGCTCCTTGCTTGGACCAGGTTGCGTGCTCCAAACACACGTCGAGAGCCCTGATAAGGGTACATAGGTGAGAACGGTTCGTTCTTGGCACACATTTGGAGCAGTCATGATTTGTTTAATACGTGAACTATAACACAAGAATGAGTGTCGTTATACATCACTTAGGTTCATAGTACTTTCACCATGCTGTTGTATTGTGTTTGGTTTGGTGATGCAATAGAATAGTAATGCACGAGTATCATTTGGATAACCAGACTGGATGTGGTGTGAAGGTGGGCCCAGAGCTTAACTTAGGGTTTTCATCCGCACGGCAGATCCGTGTATCTCTCTCGCGGGACCCGGATAAAACGGGTGTATGCGAAACATTGCCCTTCGTATTCCGGAAGACGAAAACTATACTTTAGTCACGGGATTCCACAAACGCCCTTACGAAAAGTTCCTGGATTGTACAGAGGGAACCACGTAAGAGGAACACCGCTCCGCTCTTATAATTCCACCTTGGCCTGATTTGCCAAGGAAGTTCCTTGCTATGGATGATTTGCCTAGCGCAGAGGGAATGGTGGGGGAAACGGTGGAGTGGTGTGAGAAGTTCGACATGTTTGCCAAAACTCAACACGTCACTTCCGCATTCTTGTCAAAATGTACCCGTCAGATCCGGGTTCATGAAAATCGAGCACGTCACAATCCGATTTCGGCTAGAAAATCACCCGTTATTCGGTTTAAATATGGGCAAGTGCCCGTAAAAAGCCCTGTCTGTGCCCTCCCTTGCTCTCCAGGCACACCAGGTGCGTTCTGCCCTCGACGAGGGATCACCCAATCAACCTCCACCGCAAATCATCGTGACCTCCCCGAAAAGCCCCTCGGCTGCCCCTGACATCAGCGCTTTCTCCCAGCCACGCAACCACTCGCGCCCCTGGAGCCGTTCCGCCCCCCTGGCCCAACATCGAGGTCGTTCTGCCCCAGCCGGAATTTCTTCGCAGATGCAACCCAGCCGAATCGCGGTAATCCAGAGGGGAATGTGCACCAGATCCCGAGTCGCGACTCCCACCAGTCGTACTTGCAAGCAGGGCTCCGGCTAACAAGGGAATTACCCTTAATGTCAAGAAATTAAGAGTTGTTTCAGACCAGATTCTGTTTTTCAGCGTAGTAAACTTATTGATTCCATCTGCCAACGGTTTAATTTATGTAAAATGTCTTGATATTACGAACTCGGTTTATTTGATTCCACGCGAAGTACACTTGTAGTAGGGATCTGTTCGTGGTGGTGTATCACCCCCTCCCGCCCTTCCTTAACCTCCACTTAGCGAAGAGAGAGGCTAGGTATTGGGAATATTTTTCTACACTTCCAACCGCCTGAGGCATTGTATGTGATGGCTTTTCGATGCGGGGAAGAGTCCGTGGGGGTTCGATGGCTTTTCCTTATCCCTGGCGAAGGCCATTTGTCTCTCGAGGATGTTAGTATCAAACCAAGAGTAGCACTTCGACGAACCCGTAGTTTAACGGGTAGTGTTTTGGGGATTCCGTCCGAAACGGGAAATTTGGGGGCCGATTCCGAGTCCGATTCCGATAACGGAATACCCCTGGCCTTAGCGAGAGCCCTGCTTGCACGCCCCAAATAAAAGCCCTTGCAACTCCCTATGTTCAATCAATTCAATTTCCACATTCCAGCCATCGCAAAATTCGACGCGAATTCGCCCGTTCCTCCCGCCCATCCCGCTCGTCGTGTTTCCACCATGGCTCGCACTCTCTTCCTCGTCGCTCTCGTCCTCGGCGTCGTCGCCGCCGCCAATGGCGCCACCGTGTCCTTCTCCTACGACAAGAGCGGCACTGACTGGCCGGTAAGCTGCACGCCACCGTCGCGCTTCTCCACACAGAACTCATTCTGGTTTCAATATGTCGAATTTCACGTCAATTGGTCACGAGCACCGAAACCAGCAGGCGAGCAATCGATGTTGTCCCTCAATTAAATCTCTCGCCTTTGTCTGACGTGTCGCAGGGCGCGTGCGCGTCGGGCGAGCGGCAGTCGCCGATCAACATCGTGATGGACGAGGCGGTGCTGGGCGCGTCGAAGGAGCTCTTCCACGTCAACTACTCCACCGCCGCCAAGGTCGCCGTCGTCAACAAGGGCTCCACCATCCGTGAGCCACGCCCCCTCCCCTTCCCCCCCGTCAAAGCCCTCGTCGGCACATTGGCGCGCTCGGTCGCATGAGCAGCATGTCTGGGCGTTTCACCTTGTGAATTGCACGTCAAGCGGCCGCCGCGCAACAGGTCCTCACCGCCCTCTCTTCCTCTTCCCGCCTCTCTCCCTCCCGCTCTACCAGAGGTGATTCCGGCGGAGGCGGAGTCGCACATGCTGCACCTGGCGTCGGGCGACTACAAGCTGCTGCAGATGCACGTGCACGCCATGTCGGAGCACACGGTCAACGGGCTCTTCGCGCCCATGGAGGCGCACTTCGTGCACGTGCACGTCGATGACCCCAAGAAGCTCGCCGTGGTGGGCGTCATGCTGCGCCTCCACCGCGACGACGCCAACTCCACGTGGATCAGTCAGTGAGTCCGCCTTCCTCTCCGCACCCTTGCTTCCCCTTTCGAGACAACCCGACCTCCGATACGCCACCGATTGGAAGGCCGCGTAACTCTCAGAATATTGGCCACATCGAGGAAATCTGGTAGAATGAGCCGCATGCTTCGCGCACTCTAATTCGCCCCTACCGCATCTCCCCCGTGCCTCCGCCAGGTGGCTATCTCCCGCACCCGCCGCCAACGGCGCGAACGTGACGGTGCCGGTGTCGGAGGACTTCTGGTCCGCGCTGCTGGCACCGTCCATGGGGTTCTGGACGTACCCCGGGTCGCTGACGACGCCCGAGTGCGACGAGATCGTGCAGTGGCACGTGCTGCGCAAGTCGCAGCCGCTGTCCGTGGCGCAGACCATCCACTTCATGAACATGATGGCCGTCACCAACAACGGCGAGCGCACCGACAACCGCTTCCCGCAGCCCATCAACGGCCGCACCGTCTACTTCTACTACCCTGCCTCGCTCCCCCAGTAGATGCGCTCCAAGCCGCCTCGCGCCTTGGCAGCTTTTTCCGTCGGCTGGACTCAACAAAAGGGTAGAATGCCGACGGTGTGTAGGTTTGCATGTGCTTGCGATATCTGTGTCGCCCTGCTGTGTTTTTTTCCAAGTTAATAAAGCGAATTGTTTCAGTGCTGAAGGCTCCTCATTTGTCAGCCATGTCCCCTTCCACTAACCCACGCGCCTAGCGGCAGCCTCCCTCAGAACCCGTGCTCTGCTTCCATTATTTTACGCAGTACAGTTTTCTGACTCCCGTCCTCCGTACGGATGATCTGTGTGATTCCTCGACATAGCAGGGTACTATCACTTGTACTGTACTAAGGGCACTTGAAATGGAAGTTCGTCAATGGTGGTATATACCACCCCCCTTTCCCCACGGGCTGATGCAGTTGGTATTCCCTAAGCCTCAGCTAGAGCCCTGCTCAGAACCCTAGCAGGCATGTGAAATGTGCAAGAGGTCTGACAGCTCCACACTGGCAGCATTGCCAACCCCATCAGCAAGGGGGTACGTACCTTACCCTACCTGGCCCGAAGGTGAGCCCTTGCATGACACGGCATCATGCAGTAGAGAGAGCCGAGTGCAGGGCAGCCAGCCATCAGAAGCATCTCTGACCAGCCTCTCAGCCGCCCAGCAGCACAGTTCACCTTAGATATGGCCCACCACCCCCACCCCACCAATCCAGAAACCCACATCCTCTGAGCCAGCGGCAGGTGGTTGAGGAGAATGGGCGCATAGCCAGTAGACTGCCTTCGGGTTTGGCGCCAAGATGAAATGTGAGCAATATGGGACCATCAATAATGCAAGCGCTGTCACACCCTGAACAGGCTCTCATCCACTACATAACATTAATTAGACGGCACTCTCGGCCTATCCTATAGCGAGCACTTTCTTCATGTGCTCGTACGTGACATACGTGATGCTAGCAGCGGGCACCACCTTGAGCAGGTTGGGCACCACCCCTCGGAAGAAGGCGTGCACGCCGCCCTCCTGCCAAAGCTCCCGCGTCACATCGCCCATGGACGGGCCCCTTCTGCCCACTGATGCAGATGCCAGGGCTGCTGCCGACCCTCCTAGTCTCGGATTGCTGCTCGGTGCGTGCGGTGTGGTGACATGAGCTTGCAGCCTGGCCCACAGGGGGGCAAGTGTGAGAAGAAGAAGAGGAGCTTAGCACAACAATTTCCCGAATCCGTTGTGTCAAAACTGCCTAGAGATAAAAGGCTCGCCGTGTGCGAATGACAGTGGGCTCACCGTGTGCGGATGACCTGCAGTGGGAAGACGAGTGTGGCGGCCACGGTGGCCGACACCGTGCCACACGCCAGCTGCAGCAGTGGCGCCGCCTCTGGGGGGTGTGCAGCCAAAGTGCAGAGGGGGGGATGGGAGGGAGTGAGAAGGGGGCAAGGTGCGGAGGGAGAGAGAGGAGTGAGAGCGGGGCCAAGGAGCGGGTGGCACACAGCAAGAGTGGGGCTAACGGTCAGGACCAGGGTCGGGGTCAGGCAGCACATGCAGATGCAGTGCATGCTGCCCACCACTCAAGACCGCAGTGGGTAGCTGGCGTCCAGCGGTGGCTGGCTGGCATCCAGAAGTGGGTGGCTGGCCTCCAGCAGTGGGTGGCTGGCCTCCAGCAGTGGGTGGCTGGCGTCCAGCAGTGGGTGGCTGGCGTCCAGCAGTGGGTGGCTGGCCTCCAGCAGTGGATGACTGGCGTCCAGCAGTGGGTAGCTGGCGTCCAGCGGTGGCTGGCTGGCGTCAAGCAGTGGGTGGCTGGCTGACGTCCAGAAGTGGGTGGCTGGCCTCCAGCACTGGGTGGCTGGCGCCCAGAGTGGATGGCTGGCCTCCAGCACTGGGTGGCTAGAGCCCAGAGTGGGTGGCTGGCGCCCATCGCCGAAGATCGCCCAGCACCCAAGATCGCCCTGCAGCCAAGATCGCCCAGCAGCCAAGATCGCCCAGCACCCAAGATCGCCCAGCACCCAAGATCGCCCAGCAGCCAAGATCGCTCAGCAGCCAACATCGCCCTGCAGCCAACATCGCCCAAGAGCCAAGGACGCCAAGCAGCCAAGATCGCCCAGCAGCCAAGATCGCCCAGCAGCCAAGATCGCCCAGCAGCCAAGACCGCCCAGCAGCCAAGATTGCCCAGCAGCCAAGATCGCCCAGCAGCCAAGATCGCCCTGCAGCCAAGATCGCCCAGCAGCCAAGATCGCCCAACAGCCAAGACCGCCCAGCAGCCAAGATCGCCCAGCAGCAAAGATCGCCCAGCAGCCAAGATAACCCAGCAACGAATATCGCCCAGCACCCAAGATCGCCCAGCAGCCAAGATCGCCCAGCAGCGAAGATCGCCCAGCAGCCAAGATCGCCCAGCAGCCAAGATCGCCCAGCACCCAAGATCGCCCAGCAGCCAAGATCGCCCAGCACCCAAGATCGCCCAGCACCCAAGATCGCCCAGCACCCAAGATCACCCAGCACCCAAGATCGCCCAGCACCCAAGATCGCCCAGCACCCAAGATCGCCCAGCAGCGAAGATCGCCCAGCAGCCAAGATCGCCCAGCACCCAAGTTCGCCCAGCAGCCAAGATTGCCCTGCAGCCAAGATCGCCCAGCAGCTAAGATTGCCCTGCAGCCAAGATCGCCCAGCAGCCAAGATAACCCAGCAACAAAGATCGCCCAGCAGCCAAGTTCGCCCAGCGGCGAAGATCGCCCAGCAGCCAAGATCGCCCAGCACCCAAGATCGCCCAACAGCCAAGGTCGCCAAGCAGCGAAGATCGCCCAGCAGCGAAGTTCACCCAGCAGCCAAGATCGCCCAGCAGTTAAGATCGCCCAGCACCCAAGATCGCCCAGCAGCAAAGACTGCTCACGGCTCAGTCATGCCCTGGCATGTGCCATGATGCCACCTGCGTGGCTCACCTGGGCGCCTTTCAATCCAGGGCGTGAAGGCGTCCTTGAGCGTCTCGTACGCGGCCAGGTCGATGCCGGCGAAGGGGATCATGCCCAGGATGGACGGCAGCAGCCCGCGGAACAGCGCGCCCACGCCCTCCCGCTGCACGATCTCCACCGTCAAGGCGGCGAGGGGCGGCGGACTTCGTCCGTACGTGAGGTGGTAGGTCTGCAGGCGCGTCTTGACGAGGTCCAGCGGGTACACCGCTGTCTGCGCCACCGCGCCCGCCATGCCGCCCGCCACCAGGCGCGAGAGGGGCGTCTCCGCAGCCTGAGCGGGGGAGGGGGGGCCAAGGGAGGGTGGGTGAGGGATGTGGAGAGAAGCAGGCGTGTGGTGTTTGGTGTTTGGTGTTTGGTGTTTGGTGTTTGGTGTTTGGTGTTTGGTGTGTGTGTGGTGATGCAAATCCTTGCATCCGCTGCACTCACCTTGCTGCCAGCACCATCAGCAGCAGACCCCAGCGCCCGCTTGAAGAGCTCGTAGGCGTAGAACTTGATGGCGGACTCAGGCGCCACCTTGACGACGTTGATGCCGTTGCCCTTGAAGAACGCCGCCACGCCGCCCTCCCCGTACACCTGCTGCGTCGCCCGCCACAGCGTCAGCCGCCCCGCACTAGTGCCGTGCCGCCCGGGCTGCAAGTTGTGCTGCCAATAAGGCGTGCTGGGCGGCAGGTGGGCGGCTGATGCTGCTGCAGAGGGTTGCAGTGCGAGAGAATGGGGTAGGGGAGCGGGGGTGCGGAGGAGGGAGAACTGCCAGCGGGGGTGGCGGCGGCGGGGGTGGTGGGGAGGAGGGGAGGAGGCGGAGGGGGAGGGAGGAGTGGCATGGGATGGGGTTGGGTGGTGGAGGTAAGTGGGGGCAGGTGATTGCGCTGCTGCTGCTGCTGCTGCTGCTGGGACTGTTGCGTGGGGTGCTGTGGCAGCTGGCGAGGGTCTGTCAAGAACGGTCGCACTGGTCAGTCTCCCTGCTGCCCTCGCCGTTGCTACTACTGTTGTTGCCGCTGCAGCAACTGTTGGTCGGCTGACACCTGCACAAGATGCACCCGCCTTTGCACCCCCTGCTACTGCCTGCACAGCACTCACAGCGGCACCACTAGCACGAACAGCACTTGTGGCAGCACTACCAGCACTACCAGCACCCGCACCAGCAGCGGCAGTAGCGGGGCTGGCGGTCTGCTTGGCGCACTGCAGCAGCACCTTGAGGCGGTCCAGCGGCGCCGTGGCAGTACGCGACACGGCGCCCGCCACGCCGCCCGCCAGGAAGTAGCGCCAGGCGAGGGCGGAGGCGTCGGGGGACGAGGAGAGCGAGGCGGAGAGGCCCGAGGGGATGACGGGCTGCTCGCCTATGTCCACCTGCTGCACTCGCTCCCAGTACTGGGGGGGGGGGTGGGGAGAGGGGGTGGAAGGGGCGGTGGGGGCGGAGTGTGAGGAGAGGAGGAGCTGGTGTCCCTCTGCTGCACGCTCTCCTCGCACTGCCGCATGGGGGGTTCAGGGGGAGGGGGGGGGCGGGTGTGAGGAGAGGATGGGATGAGAAGTGGGGAAGTGGTGGCAGCGCATTGCAAGTCAGGAGGTGGAGTCACATGGTGGCAGGCGGCCCACGCACCTCGTAGACGGTGGCAACAGAGGTGGCGCGGTGGGGGAAAAGCAGCAGGAAGTCGCGCCACTCGGCAAACGACAAGACCCCGTCGTGGTTGCGGTCCATGCGGTACATGAAGGCGTGCAGCTCGCCGGGCAGCAGATGGATGCCTGCACAAGACGGAGGGGAGAAAGGGGAAAGGCATGCGTGACATGAGGGGCATGAGGGGCATGAGAGGCGTGAGGAGAATGCGAGACATGAGAGACATGAGAGACATGAGGGGTATGAGGGCATGGGGGGCATGGGGGGCATGGGGGCACGACGGACAAGGTGCCGTAGCCTCCACTGATGGTTGGAAGGGCAGCAGAGAGCAGCGCGCACCGTCCTGTTCAAGGGAAGCGGCGAGCTCTTCCATGGAGATGGAGCCGTCGAAGTCGGTGTCGATGCGCTGGAAGAGGCGGTACAGCTGCACCTCCTTGCAGTCCATGTAGCGGTGGAACTCGCTGTAGTCGCACACGCCGTCGCCGTTCTGCAGCGAGGGCGGGGAGAGCGAAGGGAGAGGAGTAAGGTGGAGGGCACAGGATGGTGGATAGAACGCTCGCGTGCAACGGCGGCTTGCTGGGAGTTCGAACGAATGAATGCAGCCAGCACCGCACCTGGTCGATGGCGGCGAGCAGCTCCTTGGAGAACTTGTAGTCCACCGGAACGCCCATGCGCGCCAAGCCCCGCTCGATCTGCCTCCGCGTCAGCGCGCCTGGCGATGGCGAGGGGAGAAAGGCGGAGGGGAGGAGAGCAGCAACAAATTGACGGCAAGTTGCAATGGCGGATTGATGTCGCCAACCTGCGATCTCCTCGCTGTGCTACTGAGCTAACCAGCCACCACATAACAGCGCGTTGTGATAAGCCGCCATACCAACACCATATGCACTCCCTTTTTTCAACCCTAACTTTAAGAAGCGTGAGATTTCGCCCAACTTTTTATCTGCGCGCATTTCGCTACCCGTCTCATCTTTCCCTACCTCGGTTCTCCGTGTCAAACGCCAGAAATAGAGCACGGATGCGCTTTTCGCGCGACGCGGGGCTCTCGTTGGCGGCCAGGTGCACCTCCACCAGGCCCAGCCCGACCGCCGCCAGACTCTCGCTCGAGCTGAACGCCTCAGCCGCTCCCATCCCCGCTTCACCCGCCGTCTGATCCGCGCCCTCCCTTGTCGCAGCGCCCGTAGATTCGCGCCCCGCAGACCCTCCTTGGGCCATGGCTCAGCAGAGGGTCGCTACGTCGCAATGCGAGGGGTAATGGGAGCGATAGGGTTGCAGTGCGGCGGTGCGATGGCGAGCGGCACCGGACGACGAGGATCACAACCCACCCCGACGGTTGTTAGCGGAGGGGGATCGAACGACGCAAGAAGCGCCTGCGGGAAAGACGTGGAAATCTAGCGCCTATGTCGTGTGTCAGAACATGCCTGAATCTGAGTCAAGGATTGACCACATGTGCAGGCAAGCTGAGAAATGCTCTGCGGTTGCCGAATTGTAACAGCAGTGCAGCGCATTGCGCAGGAATTCCCCATCAGCTCGCAGAGCCGAGCACCTGACGCTGGAGGTCGGGGAACGAGCAAGACGCGCAGGCGGGCTTGGACTGTCGAAGCGCAGCCTGGCGCTGATGCTTCCCGCCCTCGGCGGAAACAGTTCCCGATGGTATAGGGATGCTACACGAATAAGTTTCCATGGGTAGTATAAATGATGGGGGGATATTCACATTTATTTCCATGAATGCAAATACTACTAGCAACACACCAATACAGCATTGCGAGCATACTGCTTTTAAACGCAGCTACAGGCGTCATCTAGGAGCAGCTTCTTGGAACACCACCTTGCCTGCATTTACATATGACCCGTCATCGATCCCATGCTCTACACTTCTGTCACTCCCTTCACGGCCATCCCCTCGTGACAGCGACCGCCACGAGTTTCGCCCCTCCCCACTGCGCCTGCTGCCAGCGTCAACAACGCCGTTCCTTTCCGCGGTGCTATTCGCTGTACCCTCAGTAGCAGACGCTGCTGATGCCGATCGGCTGTGGCCCCCCGACGCAGCAGACACAAGCGACGCTGATCTGCTGTGTGTTGAAATTGTCGACCCACTGGACTCACTCCGAGAGTGCCCGATGGCAACGATGTGTTGCATTGTTTTAACTAAGTCCTGGATCTGCGGGCGCGCCACGGGGTCCTCGTTGATGCAGTGCTTCGCCAGCACCAGCAGCTTCTGCGCACCCACCCGTGAGAATTGATCCCCCAACCGTGGATCTAGGATGATGTCCAGATCCGGGCGTCGTGCCGAAATGTGTGGCCGAATCCAGGCTGTCAGGCCGCCCTCCCCGTTGGCGTCCTCGTCCTCGCCTGAGGGGGGGCGGCCCGTGAGGAGCTCGAGGTAGACGACTCCGAGGGCGTAGATGTCACTCTTGGGGGTCAGGTGGCCTGTGGTGGTGAGGGGGGGATGAGACAGCATGGGGTGGTGAGACGAGTCGCAGGGGAACAGTGTGCATGTCAGAGGGGAGTCTGCCTGAGTTGCCATGGAAACAGTGCTTGGAACCCTGATCGCACTTCCAGCCATCCAGCTCACCCCGTGCATGCATGCCTGCATGAATGCATGAATGCATGAGTGTGCGCACCTGTCTCCATGTACTTGGGGTCGAGGTACCCCATGGTGCCCAGCACCCGCGTGGACACGTGTGTCTGCCCCGCCTCAGGGCCCACCGTGGCCATGCCAAAGTCCGTCAGCTTCGCGCGCATGCTCTGACAGGCCGCAAGGGGTGGGGAGCGGAGGGGGGACAGCATAAGGCACGCTTGGCTTACATGGGGAATCCCCCAAGCACAGCCAAGCAGTTTCAGCCACACATGATGGCGTTATGGGTGTGGAAGAAGGAAAGAAGGGAGGGGTTTGGCATTGAAGGGATGGCAAGAGGCACAAGCAATGAAGGAACCCAGGCACTGATTTAACTACAGTGCGGCTGAGGTGCGCACCTTGTCCAGCAGGATGTTGCAGGACTTGAAGTCGCGGTGGATGATGTTCTCCGCGTGCAGGTGCGCGAGCCCCATCGTCGCGTCCAGCGCGATGCGCACCCGCTCCTCCCACGTCAGCGCGCGCCGGCTGCGGCTGCTGCTGCTGGTGGACTCGTCGTGGAAGAGCCAGGCGTCAAGGCTGCCGTTATCGAGGAGCTCATAAACGAGGATGGCCTCTTCCCTCTCCGTGCTGTAGCCCAGCAGCCGCACCAGGTTGGGGTGGCTCAGCCGCCCCAGCAGCAGCACCTCCGACTGACGGCGGGGGACAGGAGAGGAGGGCGGAAGGGAAGGCGGGGAAGCGGAAGGCGTGAGAAGAGAGAAGAAGGGCGAGGGGTAAGCGTAGGGTGGGCCACTGCATTCATGGCACGCGGCTGCCATGCTGCTGCGCACTCCTGGATTCAGCCAGCGCCCATCGCGCCTCACATCCGCCATCCACCCGTCCACCCGTCCACCCGTCCACCCGTCCACCCGTCCACCCGTCCACCCGTCCACCCGTCCACCCGTCCACCCATCCCCATCACCCACCATGTCCCCCAGCGACCCACCATCCACTCGCCAAAGCCCTGGAAGCTATCAGCGGCCAGCACTTTGATCGCCACCTTGCGCTTCTGTCCGCGCGGCAGCTCGCCGAGCCAGTCGGGCATGGTGCCGCGGTACACCTTGCCGAAGCTGCCCTCGCCCAGCACGTTGCTGCTGCGGAACCGCCCCGTCGCCGCCTGCAGCTCGCGGTACGTGAAGCGCCGCAGGTCGCTCGCGAACGACGCGTTCGACGCGGTGTCGTCATAGTTACTAGCTACCGAGCCAGGGAAAGGGGGGTGTGCAGGGCGGGGGAAGAGTAAGGAGGACGACATGGAGGCGGGTACGGGCTACGCAAGCAGGAAGGGTACGCACCCACAGACTGGGTTGGGAACAGCGGTGTGGGCGAGCATGACGACGCGCATACCTGGCTCTATCTCGGAAGACCCCCCTGCTAGAAAGCAAGGCAAAAGAAGTCCGGCTTTATGCTCGTTGTGACGACTGGCATGACTACTGTAGCACGCTCCCATTGGGAATGAGCTAAACCAAAAGCTTACGCGAAACTATTAGGAATAAGCGATTTAACGTCGTAACGGATAGTCGGCAGCCGATTCTAGCTCGTGCTAACCGCATGCGTCGGTTCTAGCTCGGATAGTCCGCAGCCGCTTCAGAATGGCTTCTTTGTCCTACCATCGTAGTGCAAACAGGCAACATGATAACTTTCAAGCTATTGGACCTTATTGAAGTTCACAGGCTAAGCGGATATCACGCTGCCCGACTTGACGCGACATGCACACGTGCTCGAAAATGGGTAGAAAAGGAGCAAGTGGGAACTCTGTGTGAATCGAGGATCTAGGGCGAGAGGCATGGAAGAGGAGAATGTTACTGCTGCTAGCGCGAATACTGGAGAGCGGAGAAGGGGAAGATCAGGTGCGTTGTGAGACAGCCTGCCAGCCTCGATTTCTCCGCGCAGGCGAAAGGCACGGCAGGCGACAACAGTGCGAGGGGCGGTGACAGGAAAGAAACTTGGCGATGAATTCTTTCTTTCGCTTCAGTTCAGCCCCTTGGGCCGTCGATTCTTCGTCAACAGCGACTGATTGGCAGCTCAGGCCCATCCGCCCTTCAGCCAACGAGCTGTTCAGCAAGACTCGCCGACCAGTGCGAACAATAGGCTATGAGATAAGGCTGAACCCCGTATCATTAGCCAATGAACACTCCTAGTCACATGAACAATGCACTATAAGCAAAAGGCACCTCACTCTTCATCACTATCTTGCTCCAAGCGGCTGATGTATTTGTCATAATATGTGGCAGCTTTCTCTGAATCCCTCAACTCCGTATAGCAGTCCGCAATAGCACCGTATGCCTCAGTGTCCCCAGAATGCTCTCCCGTTGACGCTGACTTCTCCAAAACGAGTTGATGATATGAGATGGCTTCCTTGAACTTCCCTTGCCTTTGGCAAGATGCTCCTGCAGGGAAATAGCCAGCATCAACGGGGAGACATCAGGGCGTGGTGCTTGTTAGGTCAATGTGATATTTTTAATCTGAGTCAGATATTGAGCATGCGTACCAAGTCCTCTGGCAGCTTTCTTCTCTTCAACCGCGTCTCCCATCTCCTTGGCCTTGCTCAGAGCCACGTGGAACTCCACAAATGCCGAGCCCGGGTGGCCATCCCGCAGGTGCTTCTTGCCCTCCTTGAGAATCCGGAGCACCTCTGCCTTCTCCTCGCTCCCCACACTAACCGCTGCGCCCACAGCCGTTGCCGTTGCTGCTGCTTCAGCAGCAGGAGCTGCTGCAGCCTCTGCCATGGGGCTGGCGCCTGCTGCAGGCGTGGCAGCGCTGGCAGGAGGCGGGGAGTAGGTGAGGGAGGGCGCGTATGTCTCCACCCTGGCCTGGCGCCTGAGGCTGAGGTTGATCTGCCTCAGCTGCGCGTTAATGCGCTCCATCTCCGCCCCCTGCTGCCGCGCCACGTACCCTGCCACGAGCAGCAAACCAGTGCCCGATAGGGATGGGGTACACGCGTGTCGGTCAAGAGTAGGGTACCGTATACCGGGCATTGGTTGGTGCTGAGGCGAGCACATCGACTCAACGGCCAACTCGTAGATGTGTTCATGTTACTGCCATGGTTCTTTGTCCATTATCCCCCCCTCCACCCCCCCAACTCACCTCCCACAGCTGCGCCAGTGAGCGCAACGAACTCGAGCGCGCACGCCACGCCCACCACAACGTTGAAGTCCGCGCCGGCCACGGCCTCCAGCTGCTGCGAGCACGCCTCCGCCACCGCTGATGCTGCCGCGGCGGAACCAGCCGCTGCGCCATCGGCAGCAGCAACTGCGGCTTCCGCTAGCGCATGGGGGGCCGAGATCGCCAAAGCGGCTGCCAGCCCCGCGGCAATGAGCGACTGGCGGAACGGGGAGTCTCGCCGGGTTGGGGAAGCCTTGCCCGTGAAATCACTCGGGTCGATGACAGCTGCGGGTGGAAATGGGACACAATGCGGTAGACGGGAGGGCGCATTGACACATGGAGAGGGCAAATGCGGGAGCATGTGGAGTGGGGATCGTCAGGTAAAGAGTGAACCTCACCAACTGGCCGTGGCGGAGAGTGTCGCGCGGAGTGAATGCGGCTGGCCGAGCTCCTTTGTTGGCCGATGGAAAAGGATGAAAGCGAACCAACTCGGGAGACCCTATCAAGAGATAAACAATGAGATATTGACATCGTGACTTCACGTTCCTGACTTCGCGGGGCTCTGAACTGTAAATCCCTCTTGAGAGGGAGTAAGGTGGCGAGTCTCCCCAGGGTGACAATGTATGAGTCGGAACGAGACTGAACAAAGATGGAGAAGTCTCAACCCGCTCCAACGACCAGCATTGTTTGCTGGAAAGGGAGTCATTGCATCTCGAGGGGGGAGGGTTCAAAGGATTGACACCTGAATTTGCCGTCAGTTCTTTGCTGAATCTGTTTGCTGCGGTGGAACTCAACTCGAAGGTAGAAATGTCTGTATTTCTGTAATGTACCGTGACATCGCGTGTGCAGAGGTGGGTTTCAGGTATTATTTCAGTCGTAGCCGTACGGTTGCGGAAATGGGCCCCCATGTTTTGACTTCAGAAGATCGCTACTTGCCATGCTGGCAGAGCGAATTGCCCAGGACAGCGTGGCAGGCCGTCTTCAGCCAATGATGCGACGCTTTCGGGTGCCTTGTGCGGTAGCGCTGATTCGCGTGTGGGCAAACCCCAAGAGAGGGTTACCGTGATGGTTATGAACTTAGCGGAAATTGGGAACCAACATGACTTGCGGTAACTTTAGCGTGAAATGATCAGCGACGATCCGTATCGATTCCGCTAGTATCGCGCACAACGGGTTTTGCTAGACTGCTTGTAGGAGGGTTGTGGATTTGCTGTGTGGGCCAGTGCCATCTGCCTGACCAGAGAAGGGAACGGCGAAACGCGAGCTTCTGACAGCCAAGGCAACCACATTCACGTCGTGTTGTTTGTCACTGTTATTAGTAGGTCTTATTGTCAGCCAAGGACCTGATCCCAGCCCTTCATATCATTCAGCAACGCCTTAGGTGCCATCGGGTCACTTGGAGTAGCCAAAGGAATTCGAGGGAATTCCCGGGTTAGCCTCGGCCTTTCGGTAGCTGCCATCGGATAATCTATTCGATCACGTTCCGTCAAAGCTTCACCCGCTAAATTCGTCTTCGTTGTCTCGCCACTTATTTTACGGCATCGATTTCCACTTCACCTGACCTCCTTCCAGCTCTTGCATCTGTTGCCTGACGCCATGGAAGCTGCGAGTCAGGCAGGCCAGCTACCATTTGAAGAAGACAGAGCTTCCGAATGACTGCTCCTTCTACCATCACACATCGTTTCTCCGTTCTTGACGTTCGCCATAACGCTAGCAGCAGTATCGTCAGTCCCCGCCTCTAGAAACCTTCGCATGCTAATCTTCCTCTAGCAGCCGTGTCCGCATGGGCATCGCGTGGTCGCGCTGGCTCGACGTGCTCCACGGCGGCGAGGCGGAGGGTGTGCCGCCCGGCGTGCCGGCGATGGTGCAGCGCGCGTTCGAGCGGTACGCCGACGACAACGGCGTGATGACGAGCAAGGCGCTGCTGCGCTTCTTCCAGGACTTCCAGGAGGACAGGGTGCGCCGTGCCGTGCGGGGGGACATGGAGGGGACAGGGAGGACAGGGTGCGCCACGGACGGGACAGGGTCGCTCCAGCAAGACAAGGGAGACATTCGGTGCTTGCTCGAAGCGTAGTCCTCCCGTCGTCCTTCGTCTGTCGGATTCCATTGATCCTTTGCTTCCCCACGTGAAAACTCTTACGTCACGTCACACTAAACGCCCTCCCCTTACCTACTTCCTCATCCCCATCCGCCCGCGCGCAGGGCGTGCTGCACGGCCCCATGGCCAACCTGCTGCTCTCCTTCCCCACGTCCAGCGCCAAGCCCTCTGACGGGCCCCCCCAGGTGCACCGCAGCCGCTCGCACCGCGCGCAGCCCGCGAAGCAGCGGCACTCGCGCACGCTGACGCGCTACTCCATGACGCTGGGCGGCAGCCGCCTCAAGGAGCAGGCCCACCCCAACCCCGACCAGTTCCTGCACGTGCTGCTCTGCCCGCTGCTCACGCCCGCGCTCTCAGCCCGGGTACGCATGCTGGAGGACACGGGGTGGGGGGGTGGGGGGGTGGGGGCGGACTGGGAGCGCGGGAGGGGGGTTTGTGAGGTGGGTCCACGGCAGGGTGGGTTGATGTCTCACGAGGTGGACGGTGGGTAGGGCGCCAGAAGACGCATCATGGGTAACTGAGTCACTCCCCCCCCTCCCCCCTCGCTCCCCCGTGCCCCCGTCAGGTGAGTGAGGACATGCGCGCGCCGCTGTCGCACTACTACATCTACACGGGGCACAACTCGTACCTCAAGGGCAACCAGCTGACGAGCGACAGCAGCGTGAAGCCCATCGTGAAGGCGCTCAAGAGGGGCGTGCGCGTCATCGAGCTCGACCTCTGGCCCTCCAGCGACAAGACCGAGATCCTTGTCATGCACGGCGGGTGAGACGGAGATCCTCGTCATGCACGGCGGGTGAGACTGAGATCCTCGTCATGCACGGCGGGTGAGAGGCGAAACGAGGGCAGGGTGCGGGCTCTGGGGGGACACAAGTGCATGGAGAGGCTTTTCCATATCTTGAGCTACCGTTTTAGAAGGCCACACTCCTCACTGGTTCTTGATCCTTTCTATCTATAAACTCTCCTCTCTCCCTCCCCCCCACCTCCCCCTCCCCGCTTCAGCACTCTGACGCGGCCGGTGGGGTTTGCGGAGTGCATAGCAGCCATTAAGGAGCACGCGTTTGAGGCGTCGGACTACCCCGTCATCATCACACTGGAGGACCACCTCCCGCCCTCGCTGCAGGCCATCGCCGCGCAGGTGGGCGCACTCTCTGGCTCACTCGCAGCAGAGAGCGCACTCTCTGCTGTGCTGCCGCACAGGGGGGTGCGCTCACAGGCTCACGCTGCTTGTGTGCTCACTCGCTCCGTTATATTGCTGTCGTCAGGTGCGCTCACTGCTGCAGCTGGCCCAAACAGCGCCACATTTAGGTCCATCCGTTAACCCCCCCCTTCCTTCCCATCCTAGCCCAATCCTCCCCTCCTCCCCATGCCCTCGACCCCCCTCTCCCCCCCAGGCGATGTGCGAGATCCTGGGCGACCTGCTGTACCTGCCGGACGAGGCGGCGCCCCAGGCGGACTTCCCGTCGCCGTTTGAGCTGCGGCGCCGCATCCTCGTGTCCACGCAGCCGCCCAAGGGCCCCAAGGAGCTCTCCACCGTCGTCGCCCCGGGGGGATCCTTCAAGGAAGCTGCACTGAGGGGTGAACCGAGCTCTCCTTGCTCCCCTTCTCCACCTGCTTCTAACGGTGATGTGCCACGTGGTTCCCCATCTGCTGATGTGGCTCGTGGTTCCCCATCTGCTGATGTGGCTCGTGGTTCCCCTGGTGCTGCTGACGTGGCACGTGGTCGCGATGGTACTGGCAGGGTTCGCAGTCCACCTGCTGCTGATTTGGCGTGCAACTCCCATGGTGCTGATCTGGCACGGGGGCAGGCGGACTGGTTGTCTTTCAGAGACATGGCGGAGGGGTCATCTGCCACTCTCGCGTCTGCTGCTGCCCCCACCCCCCCCCATCACCCGCCGCGCTCCCATGCGCCTGCCAGCGAGGGCGAGCTGTCCGACACAGCCTCCAGCGGGGGCCGCTTCGCTGCAGAGGGGGACAGAGGGCATGGAGGAAGAGGAGGAAGAGGAGCGGAGGGGGAGGGCAGCGAAGTGGATGCAGGGGCAGGGGCAGCGGGCAGCAGCAGAGCTCGGCGGGAGAGGGAGAGGGAGTGGTCGTTCTCGTTCCATGTGGCAGTGCCGGCAGAGGACGGCGAGGGCGTCATGGCGCTGGGGGCGGCGCTCAGCATGGCGGGCAGACACCGCGGCAGCAGGGGCAGTGGGGCGGGCGGCCAGGGAGGGGCATCCCGGCGCAGCAGAGGGAATGCGTCCAAAGGGAGTGGCAGTGGGATGTCGTGGGGAAGCATGGGGCACAGCATGGGGCACAGCATGGGGCACGGTGTGGGCGGTGTGTCGCATGGTAGTGACTGGTCGTCTGGCCGCTCCGTGCAGCTGCAGCAGGTGGATGAGACGCAGCTCCAGCAGGTCAGCGTCGCGCCTGCTCCACTCACCCCCTGCCACATGCCCACCCATGAAACCAGCTCGCACACCACTCATGTACCTGCTGTGAGGCCTTCCCTCCCCTGTTTCTCTACCAACCATGAGCAGCAACCTGTTCCCTCCCCCCCCTTGCCGACCCCGCCAGGTGGAGGCGCAGTGGACGCAGGAGGACGCGGCGGAGGAGGCGGCGGAGGACGCCCTGACGGCCAAGGTGCCGCAGTACCGCCGGCTCATCTCCATCCCAGGCGGCAAGCTCAAGGGCGGCAGCGTGGAGGAGGGGCTGAGCGGGTGCAGCGGCGGGGCGGTGCGCCGCATCTCGCTGTCGGAGACGCAGCTGGCGGCAGCGGCGCGCTCCTCCCCGCATGTGCTGCTGGCGTTCACGCAGCGCCACCTGCTGCGCATCTACCCCTTCGGCCTCCGCGTCACCTCCTCCAACTATGACCCCATGCAGGTGCACCCCCATGCACGTGCGCCCCCATGCACGTGCGCCCCCATGCAGATGCACCCCCATGCACGTGCGCCCCCATGCACGTGCGCCCCCATGCACGTGCGCCCCATGCACGTGCGCCCCATGCACGTGCGCCCCATGCACGTGCGCCCCATGCACGTGCGCCCCTGCATGTGGTAGCTTCCGAACTCTCTGTGCTGTCAACATTACTCAATAGCACCATCCCCCCCTCCCCTCCCCTCCCCTCCCCCCCCCCTTGTGTGCCAGGCGTGGCTGCACGGCGCGCAGATGGTGGCGATGAACATGCAGGGGTACGGCCGCCCGCTGTGGCTCGTGCACGGCTTCTTCCGCGCCAACGGCGCCTGCGGCTACGTCAAGAAGCCCGCCTGCCTCATGGGGGGGGAAGAGGGGGGCGGGGAGGGGCAGGGGGAGATAGGAGGGGATGTGGGGAAGGAGAGTGTGCCGTACAACCCCCAGGCTGTGCGCCCTGTGCAGCTGGTGCTACGGGTATGTGCACTTTCGATGTGGTTCTTCCGCTTTGCGCACACATGTGCGTTTTGCTCCTCTGCATGTGCCATTGGCTGCTGCACTGCCCTCTAGAGCCATCATCCTCATCTGCAGCAGTACTGGCAGCCTCACCAGCGTCTCTCAGTCGCAGTCGCACCCGCGCTATTCTGCGTGCTGGCTCTCCCTCTCATTCCCTCCCCCTCTCCCCCCCTCTTCGAGTGTGTGCGCGCCAGGTGCACGTCGTCCTGGGAACGGGGTGGTACACTCGCTTCGCCCACAGCAACTTCGATGCGGGCGGCCCCAGCGTGCTGTGCCGGGTGCGTTGCTGCAAGCCCGGGTCATGGGGTCAGCAGGATCGTGGTGTGGTGGCAGCCCTGCACTTTCGGCTGTCCGCTGTCAGTTGTCCGCCCCACGCCGTCAGCTCATATCCAACTCCTCACTTCATAGCCCCCGTCACCTCATCTCCCGCCTGACCTCATACCCCCCTGACCTCGTATCCCCCTGACCTCATATCCCCTATCACCGCATATTCCCCGTCACCTCGTATCTCCCGTCACGTCACCTCATACCCCCAGTCACCTCACCTCATATCCCTCCCCCTTGACCTCATATCCCTCCCCCTTGACCTCATATCCCCCGTCCCCTTATAACCCTCCCCCGTGACCTCATACCCCTCCCCGTCACCGCATATTCCCCGTCACCTCATATCCTGTTGGATGTCGGGTGTTGTGTGTCGGCTGTCGGGTGTCGGGTGTTGGCTGCTGGCTGTCAGGTGTGGGGTTTCAGGTGTCAGCTGCCGGCTGCTGGCTGCCGGCTGTGGGGTGTCGGGTGTCAGGTGTCGGGTGTTGACTGTCGGTTGTCCGCTGTCAGGAGTCAGCTGTCGCGTGTGGAGTGTTGGGTGTCGGCTGTCGGGTGTCGGGTGTCGGATGTCGGGTGTCTGGTGTCGTGTGTAGGCTGTTGGCTGTTCGGTGGCTTCCATTCTTGTGAACAGCTTCCCGCTCTCACTCTCTCCTGTGTTGTCATCCACCACACGCGCACCTGCCCTCCTGCCGCCCTCACCGTGGCCCCACCCCACTGGGCAGGTGTCAGTGGAGGGGGCGCCAGCGGACGTGGGGGAGAGGCGGCTGGACGTGAGGGTGGGGCAGTGGAACCCGTGTTGGGACGACACGCCGCTGCTCTTCCCGCTCACGCTCCCCCAGCTCGCCCTGCTCTGCTTCGAGGTCCGCCTGCCTTTTTCCTTCACCACTGTCTTCCCTGTCGTATGATCTTCAAGTGCACTTGCTTTATCCATCATCCATCATCACCCCCCGTCTACCCCCATATCTCTCCGTGTTTCCGTTCCTCTTCGCCATGAAGCTGCTTTTTATTTTTCTCCTCTGTTTCTCTCCTTCTGCCCTCCCCTCTATACTGCACAGGTCAAAGTGCTGGGCCTTTCTTCTTCCTGCTACCCCTTTCTTGACTATGTAAGTGGGCTTCTGCGATCGTTTCATCCCCCGTTGCACCACTCACAAAGTGCCACGTTACAGCTCTACTAGCGTACATTGCCCCCCTTTGAGGCTTTCAACCCCATCCTTATGGCATGCACGTGCCTTGCTGCCTGAGCACCCGAACCTGACATTCTCCACTCGACCCGTGTGCTGCGCTGCGTGGTGGCACAGCTGTTTGAGAAGAACCTGTACCAGGACGACTTTGGCGGGCAGGTGGTGCTGCCAATCATGTTCCTGCGCCCTGGCTTCCGCTGTGTGCCGCTGTACGACCGCAAGGGCCGGCCCATGGCGGGGGAGCAGGGTGACGAGGCCGAAGGGCCAAGGCTGTTATGCCAATTCGAGCTGCTCAAACCAGGGGAGGAAAATGAAACCAAGGAAAGGGTTCCCAAGTCGACGACTTGGGCAGGAGCCTCTAGCAGCGTGAAAGGCAGTGAGCAAGAACTCCAAAGACCAAAGGTTGGCAGAAGCCATGAAATTTGAAGGATACATGCTTTGGCAAAGCTTCTATTCCATACAATATTTATATTCATTGTACGAAGGCCTTGTGTGTACCGAACATAGAATTGTTATATTCATAGAAGTGATTTCCGTCGTCCCTTATAGCAGGCGTTGTGTTCTGGAGTTGAACTCCTAGAGGTGGGGTGGGCATGTAACACTTTGACCATGTGGTCAACAACTCCCCACGTGGAGGCCTCTCGTTGCTCCTCTCAGGCATCGCCAGCCCGATCTCGATGTTGTCGCCACCTCGTTTCTCCCCTCATATTCCCCTCGCATTTTGTTCCACTGAATGCGCACCTTCTTCCTTCTGCTACCTCCCAGTTGCACGACGCGCCTGCCTCACCACCAACCATGGCGTCCTCTCTCGCATGTCACAACACCACGCCGCTTTTCGCGGCTCGTTCTGTAAACGACGCGCGCGCCTCAAATCAGGCCAACCCTGTCGTGAATAGAAGGAATTACCAGGCATTGGTAAACAGGCGTCAGGGGAGACGTCTCTCGTTCGCCTCGCTTCTGAGCTCCGGTAGGTTCTGACATCCCAATTCGCGCTCCAATGCGACTACTTCGCGCCCCTCAGCCAGAAATATCATCGGCAAAATTATACCTCTGGATAATTGGCTTGATCATCAATGTCATGTGGGTAATCCAATGCTACTAACGATATGCTGCGACTATCAATGCACATAACAACTGGTACTCAAGGAAGATGCACTTGCGGAGCCGGTATCCAATATTCAACGTCCCACCTTCCGTGCCAGGCATAACATTCCCGCTGAAGAAGCCGGCACCCCCACGACCGCGTGCTGTAGCGGTGACAGCCGCAGCTGCCGATGGCGCTGCTGCGGGAGCAGGCGAGGCAGCAGCAGCAACAGCGCCGCCTCCAGTGCGCGCGGTGCTGTTCGACATGGACGGCGTGCTGTGCGACAGCGAGGACCCCTCGAGAGAAGCCGCCGTGGCGTTGTTCGCGGAGATGGGCGTCGCTGTCACGGCGCAGGACTTCGTGCCGTTCATGGGGACAGGTGAGAGGCGGCGGGTATGGGGACAGGTGAGCATGGGTGAGCGGGTGGATGGGTGAGCGGGTGGATGGGTGAGCGGGTGAATGGGTGAGTGGGTGAATGGGTGAGCGGGTGAATGGGTGAGTGGGTGGATGGGTGAGCGGGTGAATGGGTGAGTGGGTGGATGGGTGAGTGGGTGAATGGGTGAGCGGGTGAATGGGTGAGCGGGTGAATGGGTGAGTGGGTGAATGGGTGAGCGGGTGGATGGGTGAGCGGGTGGATGGGTGAGCGGGTGGATGGGTGAGCGGGTGGATGGGTGAGCGGGTGGATGGGTGAGCGGGTGGATGGGTGAGCGGGTGAATGGGTGAGCGGGTGGATGGGTGAGCGGGTGAATGGGTGAGTGGGTGGATGGGTGAGCGGGTGAATGGGTGAGTGGGTGAATGGGTGAGCGGGTGAATGGGTGAGTGGGGCGGGTGAATGGGTGAGCGGGTGGATGGGTGAGTGGGTGAATGGGTGAGCGGGTGAATGGGTGAGTGGGTGGATGGGTGAGCGGGTGAATGGGTGAGTGGGTGGATGGGTGAGTGGGTGAATGGGTGAGCGGGTGAATGGGTGAGTGGGTGAATGGGTGAGCGGGTGAATGGGTGAGCGGGTGGATGGGTGAGCGGGTGGATGGGTGAGCGGGTGGATGGGTGAGCGGGTGGATGGGTGAGCGGGTGGATGGGTGAGCGGGTGGATGGGTGAGCGGGTGGATGGGTGAGCGGGTGGATGGGTGAGCGGGTGAATGGGTGAGCGGGTGGATGGGTGAGCGGGTGAATGGGTGAGTGGGTGGATGGGTGAGGGGGTGAATGGGTGAGCGGGTGAATGGGTGAGGGGGTGGATGGGTGAGCGGGTGAATGGGTGAGTGGGTGGATGGGTGAGCGGGTGGATGGGTGAGCGGGTGGATGGGTGAGAGGGTGGATGGGTGAGCGGGTGGATGGGTGAGCGGGTGGATGGGTGAGTGGGTGAATGAGTGACGGGGTGAATGGGTGAGCGGGTGAATGGGTGAGCGGGTGAATGGGTGAGGGGGTGAATGGGTGAGCGGGTGAATGGGTGAGCGCGTGAAGTGGGTGAATGGGTGAGTGGGTGAATGGGTGAGTGGGTGAATGGGTGAGTGGGTGAGTGAGTGAATGGGTGAGTGGGTGAATGGGTGAGTGGGTGAATGGGTGAGTGGGTGAATGGGTGAGTGGGTGAATGGGTGAGTGGGTGAGTGGGTGAGTGGGTGAATGGGTGAGTGGGTGAATGGGTGAGTGGGTGGATGGGTGAATGGGTGAGTGGGTGAATGGGTGAGCGGGTGAATGGGTGGATGGTTGAATGGGTGGATGGTTGAATGGGTGAATGGGTGAATGGGTGAGTGGGTGAATGGGTGAGTGGGTGAATGGGTGAGTGGGTGAATGGGTGAGTAGGTGAATGGGTGAGTGGGTGAATGGGTGAATGGGTAAGCGGGTGAATGGGTGAGTGGGTAAATGGGTGAGTGGGTGAATGGGTGAGTGGGTGAATGGGTGATTGGGTGAGCGGGTGAGTGGGTGAATGGGTGAATGGGTGAGTGAGTGAATGGGTGATTGGGTGAATGGGTGAGTGGGTGTGTGGGTTAATGGGTGTGCGGGTGAATGGGTGAGTAGGTGAATGGGTGAGTGGGTGAATGGGTGAGTGGGTAAATGGGTAAGCGGGTGAATGGGTGAGTGCGTGAGTGGGTAAATGGGTGGGTGGGTGAATGGGTGAGTGGGTGAATGGGTGAGTGGGTGAATGGGTGAGTGGGTGACTGGGTGAATGGGTGAATGGGTGAGTGGGTGAATGGGTGAGTGGGTGAATGGATGAGTGGGTGAATGGGTGATTAGGTGAATGGGTAAGCGGGTGAATGGGTGAGTGGGTAAATGGGTGAGTGGGTGAATGGGTGAGTGGGTGAATGGGTGAGTGGGTGAATGGGTGAGTGCGTGAGTGGGTGAATGGGTGAGTGGGTGAATGGGTGAGTGGGTGAATGGGTGAGTGGGTGAGTGGGTGGATGGTTGAATGGGTGAGTGGGTGAATGGGTGAGCGGGTGAATGGGTGGATGGTTGAATGGGTGAGTGGGTGAATGGGTGAGTGGGTGAGTGGGTGGATGGTTGAATGGGTGAGGGGGTGAATGGGTGAGCGGGTGAATGGGTGGATGGTTGAATGGGTGAGTGGGTGAATGGGTGAGTGGATGAGTGGGTGGATGGTTGAATGGGTCAGTGGGTGAATGGGTGAGTAGGTGAATGGATAAGCGGGTGAATGGGTGAGTGGGAAATGGGTGAGTGGGTGAATGGGTGAGTGGGTGAATGGGTGAGTGGGTGAATGTGTGAGTGGGTGAGTGGGTGAATGGGTGAGTGGGTGAATGGGTGAGTGGTTGAATGGGTGAGTGGGTGAGTGGGTGGATGGTTGAATGGGTGAGTGGGTGAATGGGTGAGCGGGTGAATGTGTGGATGGTTGAATGGGTGAGTGGGTGAATGGGTGAGTGGGTGGATGGTTGAATGGGTGAGTGGGTGAAGGGGTGAGTGTGAGAAACTGAATTGATGATTGGATTAGGAAAGGAGTGGGTATACATAGGTGAGGAGTAGGAGGGGGGGGTTTGGTTGGGAGGTGACCAGGATTATTGGTGACCCCAATGAGTTGAGTTGGCCAACTTATTGGGGGTCCAATAATCCTAGCCAAGATTATTGGTGGGTCCAATAATGTTGGTTGGGATTATTGAGGGTTCCAATAATTGGGAGCCCAACCAATTTGGGAACCCAACAAGGGTGGGAGCCCAACCCCCAACTTGGATGTATACACCCTAGTGGGGTGTTTATGAAGTACCTAAGACAATGAAACGATGTAGGCTAATAGAATGAAGGGAGAATATTCTAACAGTGAGCGGGTGAATGGGTGGATGGTTGAATGGGTGAGTGGGTGAATGAGTGAGTGGGTGAGTGGGTGGATGGTTGAATGGGTGAGTGGGTGAATGGGTGAGTGGGTGAGTGGGTGAATGGGTGGCGTTCGTGGGGACAGGTGAGACACGGCGGCTACGGAGGGTGGTGCGCGGCCTGCTGTAGGTGGCTGACCGTGAGGATTGGTAGCAGTGAGCGCAATGTGACCAGAGGAGGACGGATTGTCCTTTTCAGCAGAATCACGCATTCTCCTGAGTTTGTTTCAGGCGAGGCCAACTTTCTGGGTGGTGTGGCTCGCGTGTATGGAGTGAAGGGGTTCGACACGGAGAAGGCCAAGAAGCGCTTCTTCGAGATCTACATCCACCGGGTCAGACTGCACCTCGCCATTCACCTGTTGGACTCGAATATATCATTAAAGCTTGCGCTACTTCTAGTGTTGAATTCCACATGGCCATCGGTTTGAAGACATGCTCACAGCGGCTCTCACCTTCCCTCATGCCACACCTCTCGCGTCCCCTGCAGTTTGCGCGCCCCAACTCGGGCATTGGCTTCCCCGGCGCGCTCAAGCTCGTGGACGAGGTGAGGCACAGGCCCCTGCGCCTGTGTGGGGCGGAGGGGTGGGCTGTGCGAGTCAGTGAGGGGGTTTGATACTTTTCATCGTGGGGGCCAGCAACTGAAGAGAACACAACAATGTCATCAATCTTGTAGCTTTGAATGCCTTTGCTTGAGCCCTCCTGCATGTTTCTCACCTGTTTCTTGCCTTGCAGTCCCCCCCTCTCCGTCTTCCCTTCTTCCTCACACCTACCTTCCCTCTTCCTCGCTCCCCCCTCCCTCCCCCTCAGTGCCGGGCAGCGGGGCTGAGGACGGCCGTGGCGTCCAGCGCGGACCGAGTGAAGGTGGATGCCAACCTCGCAGCGGCTGGCATCCCACTCGACAGGTGGGTGCCTGCGTCAAGGGCGACGGCTTGCCTTTTTACTTTGCTTGGAGACACTAAGGAGGGAACGAGATGGGAGGTGAAAGCGTGCTTGGATGTGAGCCATGCCATGTGTGCCATCACACTTCGCCTCCAATCTGCCTCGTGGCCGTGTCTCTCCTCCCCTCCGCACCCCCCAGGTTTGACGCCATCGTGTCTGCCGACAAGTTTGAGCGCCTGAAGCCCTTCCCCGACATCTTCTTTGCTGCCGCCAACGAGCTGGGCGTCCCCACCCACCAGGTGACGGGGGCGCAAGGGACAGGCGGTGGGCTGTTGTGGGGGAGTGGCAACAGGAGACAGAGAGGGTAGATGGGAGGCGCGACATTTGTTCTGTTTTTGTTTGTCTGGCTTGGTCTGAGCGCCTCTTACAGTGCATGTGTCTCACTTGCTGCGCGCCCCATGCTCATCTGTCGTGTGCAGTGTGTGGTCATTGAAGATGCTCTCGCGGGAGTGCAGGCAGCAACAGCTGCTGGCATGAGGTGGGCATTGAGTGCACGTGCTAAGGTTTGAAGATTGACAGTGAACGGAGAGACACGTAAGAAGTGACCTCCACAAGACACTCCCTGCTGCTTCTCTGCACCCTCCACTCTAGAGGCCGCTCCTAGAGCGGCAGGGGGCGGTCCTAGAGCGGCAGGGCGTGGTCCTAGAGCGGCGGGGGGCAGTCCTAGAGCGGCAGGGGGCGGTCGTAGAGCGGCAGGGGGCGGACCTAGAGCGGCCGGGGGCGGTCCTAGAGCGGCAGGGGGCGGACCTAGAGTGCGGGGGGCAGTCCTAGAGCGGCGGGGGGCGGTCCTAGAGCGGCAGGGGGCGGTTCTAGAGCGGCAGGGGGCGGTTTTAGAGCGACAGGGGGCGGTCCTAGAGCAGCAGGGGGTGGTCATAGAGCGGCAGGGGGCGGTCCTAGAGCAGCAGGGGGCGGTCATAGAGCGGCAGGGGGCGGTCGTAGAGCGGCAGGGGGCGGTCGTACTGCAGAAGTGATGAACTTCCTCGTTCACACCAACTCAATCCCCCGCTCCGCCCCACCTTGCTTTGCATTGTCACATGTGTCCCACTGATTCTCCCTCTCCCCTTCCCCCTTCCCTCCCCCACTCCCAGGTCCATAGCCGTGACCACCACTCTCTCAGCCGGCAGCCTGGCTGCTGGCCGCCCCGCCCTCATTCGCCGAGACATTGCAGACATCAGCGTGGCGGACATCACCACTCTGCACTTCCCCTCAGACGAAGACAATGACTCTTCTGGCCCACCTGCTGCTGCCTCCGCTGGTAGCTCGTAGGCACCTGCATCTGCATGCCATCCTGCTAGCTCTCAGCAACCCTGTGGTAGCTTTCAAACAGCCTCGTACCTTATCCAGGGTGCATCCGTGAAGCGCAACATGCTTGCCTGTTTCCTGGGGCGTGCTCAAAGCACCATGCGATGCTAGGGGGAGTTGTACCTGGAGATAATTGCGGTCTTACGATGGCTGTTGACAATGGCAAGGGCTCGATTGAATGCATTGACTTAAGGGCTGTGCTGCCTTTCATCCAGGGCCCGATGTGTGGGTGCAAACATGTGTGCTTCATACCACCTCCTTCCTCCCTTTAACCAGCGTGTTCATTCATCCCTTTCCGCCCCTTCCATGTAGCTCACTGTCGCGATGCATTGCCCTCTCACCTCCATCTCTCACCTCCATCTCTCACCTCCATCTCTCACCTCCATCTCTCATCTCCATCTCTCACCTCCATCTCTCATCTCCATCTCTCATCTCCATCTCTCGCCTCCATCTCTCGCCTCCATCTCTCGCCTCCATCTCTCGCCTCCATCTCTCGCCTCCATCTCTCGCCTCCATCTCTCGCCTCCATCTCTCGCCTCCATCTCTCGCCTCCATCTCTCGCCTCCATCTCCCACCTCCATCTCTCGCCTCCATCTCTCGCCTCCATCTCTCGCCTCCATCTCTCGCCTCCATCTCTCGCCTCCATCTCTCGCCTCCATCTCTCGCCTCCATCTCTCGCCTCCATCTCTCGCCTCCATCTCTCGCCTCCATCTCTCGCCTCCATCTCTCGCCTCCATCTCTCGCCTCCATCTCTCGCCTCCATCTCTCGCCTCCATCTCTCGCCTCCATCTCTCGCCTCCATCTCTCGCCTCCATCTCTCGCCTCCATCTCTCGCCTCCATCTCTCGCCTCCATCTCTCGCCTCCATCTCTCGCCTCCATCTCTCGCCTCCATCTCTCGCCTCCATCTCTCGCCTCCATCTCTCGCCTCCATCTCTCGCCTCCATCTCTCGCCTCCATCTCTCGCCTCCATCTCTCGCCTCCATCTCTCGCCTCCATCTCTCGCCTCCATCTCTCGCCTCCATCTCTCGCCTCCATCTCTCGCCTCCATCTCTCGCCTCCATCTCTCGCCTCCATCTCTCGCCTCCATCTCTCGCCTCCATCTCTCGCCTCCATCTCTCGCCTCCATCTCTCGCCTCCATCTCTCGCCTCCATCTCTCGCCTCCATCTCTCGCCTCCATCTCTCGCCTCCATCTCTCGCCTCCATCTCTCGCCTCCATCTCTCGCCTCCATCTCTCGCCTCCATCTCTCGCCTCCATCTCTCGCCTCCATCTCTCGCCTCCATCTCTCGCCTCCATCTCTCGCCTCCATCTCTCGCCTCCATCTCTCGCCTCCATCTCTCGCCTCCATCTCTCGCCTCCATCTCTCGCCTCCATCTCTCGCCTCCATCTCTCGCCTCCATCTCTCGCCTCCATCTCTCGCCTCCATCTCTCGCCTCCATCTCTCGCCTCCATCTCTCGCCTCCATCTCTCGCCTCCATCTCTCGCCTCCATCTCTCGCCTCCATCTCTCGCCTCCATCTCTCGCCTCCATCTCTCGCCTCCATCTCTCGCCTCCATCTCTCGCCTCCATCTCTCACCTCCATCTCTCACCTCCATCTCTCGCCTCCATCTCTCGCCTCCATCTCTCGCCTCCATCTCTCGCCTCCATCTCTCGCCTCCATCTCTCGCCTCCATCTCTCGCCTCCATCTCTCGCCTCCATCTCTCGCCTCCATCTCTCGCCTCCATCTCTCGCCTCCATCTCTCGCCTCCATCTCTCGCCTCCATCTCTCGCCTCCATCTCTCGCCCCCGTTTTCTTGTTGGGGATCCCAGCAGGAGCAGCGTCACCCACTGCCACGCCAGACTCTGCAGACGGGGCCGAGGGGCTGTGGGCATCGCTGGATGCGCCTCTGGAGCTGCCAGGAGGGTGAGTGAGTCAGTGGGGGGCAGGGGGGTTAGTGAGTGGGGGGCAGGGGGATGAACGAGAGGGGTGCCAGCGGGAGTGGGGTGGCAGGGATGGCGAGTGGGGAGTGCGCTCACTGCCCAGTGGCATGCCATCATGCTGCTGCTGCCGGGCAAGACCACCTCTCACCACTCCTCCCCACCCTCATGCTGTGTGCCCGCCCCTGTGTGGCAGCATGAGTGTGACTCGCCGAGATGCCATGCGCTATGCCAGCCTGGCCATGGGGCTGGCCACCACTGCATTTACTCTCGACAACCTCAAGGTCTGAACTTCCCTCAACGTCCAAAGCCCCCTCCCCTCGCCCCTCTCTCCTCCCGCCCATTCTTGCCCATCGTCTGACCCTCTGCCTTCCCCTCTTGCCTCTCCGTTTACTCCCCCCCACCCCTTCCCCCCTCTCCCCCCCACCCCTTCCCCCCTCTCCCCCCCACCCCTTCCCCTCTCTCCCCCCCAACCCTTCCCCCCTCTCCCCCCCACCCCTTCCCCCCTCTCCCCCCCACCCCTTCCCCCCTCTCCCCCCCATCCCTTCCCCCCTCTCCCCCCCACCCCTTCCCCCCTCTCCCCCCCACCCCTTCCCCCCTCTCCCCCCCACCCCTTCCCCCCTCTCCCCCCCACCTCTTCCCCCCTCTTCCCCCAGGCGTTCTCCTACGCGTCCCCCAAGGCGCTGCTCAACATGCTCATGGGCACCGCCGTGCCGCCCGCCAATGCTGCGGGGCCCAGGGGCCTCGTGAAGTACGTGCAGCAGCTGGACCGCAGGTGCGTGGCCGGGGGATGGGGGGGGGGGGGGGGGTGAGGGAAGGAGGGGAAGTGGGGAGGGGTTCGCGGGGGGGTAACCAACGACAGCTGGCAACCGTCCATTGCCTCCCACCCCACCCCACCCCACCCCACCCCACCCCTCCCCTGCGATCCACCAGCGGCGCCAGCGATCTGGTGCCAGACTTTGAGCCGCGCCTGCAGTGGCTCAACAGCGCGCCCCTCTCCTTCACCCGGGTGTGTAGCTCCCCCTTTTGCGCTGCTCCACGCTGTGCTCCTCTCTCCAGTCTGCATGCACATGCCGCCAGTCTACATGCCCCACTGCGCATGTTCTTGACTCCTCCAGCTTCCAGCTATGAGCCTCCCCTTCCACTCCCCCCTTTTCCTGCATGTGCGCCAGGAGCTGCGCGGCAAGGTGGTGCTGCTGGACTTCTGGACGTACTGCTGCATCAACTGCATGCACGTGCTGCCGGACCTCGCTGCCCTCGAGAAGAAGTACGAGGGCCAGCCGGTAGGCCAAGTGGAATGAACAGGCGCCCTCCGAGCCAGCAGTATTCTTGTGGCCGGTTTCCACCATCACCACACATCCTTGGGGATGCCCTCCTGCTTGCATGACAGCCACTCCCGCACTCCCTCTCTCCTCTCGCTCTCCCCTCAATCTCCTCTCTCGGGTGGAATGCTCTGCCTCCTTCCCTCTCACCACTTGGTATGTGTGTGTGTGGCCTCAGGTGGTGGTGGTGGGGGTGCACTCCGCCAAGTTTGACAACGAGAAGGACCTTGACGCCATTCGCAATGCCGTGCTGCGATACGACATCTTGCACCCTGTATGCCTCCCATCCTGTATGCCTCCCATCCTGTATGCCTCCCATCCTGTATGCCTCCCATCCTGTATGCCTCCCATCCTGTATGCCTCCCATCCTGTATGCCTCCCATCCTTTATGCCTCCCATCCTGTATGCCTCCCATCCTTTATGCCTCCCATCCTGTATGCCTCCCATCCTGTATGCCTCCCATCCTGTATGCCTCCCATCCTGTATGCCTCCCATCCTGTATCCCTGCTATTCATTTGCCGTCCTGCATGCCGCACCAACCCCTATGGCCTCATTCGTCTTCACACGCCCGTGTGCACCGCGATCACTTAAGCCAGGGACAAGCCTCACCTGCTTGTCGGCGTGCCTGCCTGTGCGCAGGTAGTGAACGACGGCGACATGCTCATGTGGCGGGGCCTGGGCGTGTCCTCGTGGCCCACGCTGGCGCTGGTGGCGCCCACGGGGCGGCTGATCGCCATGGTGGCGGGCGAGGGCAACCGGCAGCTGTTTGACGGCCTCATAGCGGCGTCCCTTGAGTACTACGGCGCCAAGGGCGCCCTCAGCGACGCGCCCATCCCCCTGGCGCTGGAGCGCAGCAAGGACCAGCGCGTGCTGGCCTCGCCCCTGCGCTTCCCCGGCAAGCTGGCCTCCGACCTCGCCAACGGGCGCCTCTTCCTCTCCGACTCCAACAACCACCGCATCGTCAGCCATGCCCCTCCTCGCACTACCATCGCCCATCTCTCGTTCTCTTGGCTTTGCAGCTGAAACCCACGATTTCCCCCACTATAAAGTGGCATGCTGACAAGTTGCTTGCACTGATCTCCATCGTTGCTGTTCCTTGGGACTCTTTGCAGGTGGTGACGGACCTTCAAGGCAACTTCCTGGCACAGATAGGAGGGGCGGGCGACGGGCTGGTGGACGGGTCGTTTGAAGAGGCTCAATTCAACAGGCCTCAGGGCGTGGCGTACGATCCTTCTCGGAACCTTCTGTTTGTGGCGGACACAGAGAATCATGCCCTGCGGTGAGAGCACATTGAGGCAGGCAGGTTCTGGTGCATAGAGGCATGTCAGTTATAATCGCAGCACTGGCAGCCACTGGTAGAAGCACACTTGGATGCATGTGCATGTGCATTCGAGAAGTCATCTGAGAGCTTGTCTCCACTCTCTCACGGCACGTGCCCTCTCTCCCCCCCCCTTCCCTCCCCCCCACACCCCATGCGGCAGGCAAGTGGACCTGGTGGGCGAGACGGTGACAACGGTGGCAGGCGATGGGCGCAAGGGGCAGGACTACAAAGGCGGGGCGAGAGGGAGAGAGCAGGTGAGGCCAAGCAAGGGGAGGGATGGCTCGTGCGTGACTGTGCTGCCATTGGAGGGGGAATCCCCTGCTGCCCTTGTCCCCCCTGCCAATACCTCTCCATCTGCCCTTCTCTGCCCCCCTCTGCCCTCTCTGCGCGCACCTGCCGTGCGCTGCCAGCCTCTCAACTCGCCGTGGGACGTGGAGCTGACGGCGGACAGAGCGGCGGTGATGGTGGCCATGGCGGGGCAGCATCAGATCTGGCGGTTCGATCTCGACACCGGCCGATGCGTGGCGTTCAGCGGGTCGGGATATGAGAGGAACCAGAACGGGCGCTTGTGAGTGCCAGCATCTTTCAAAGGTTATTTCCTGATATGAGGTCATGCAACCTATTGCCTTTCTCCCCCCCCCAACCTCTCCCTCCTTGCGAATTGCCATCCTCTCTGTTGTTACACCACCCCCTTGCCCTCTCTCGCAGTGCCTCTGACACGGCATATGCCCAGCCGTCTGCTCTGTCGCTTGCTCCAGGTGAGGAGGCTGAACGCCATACTGCGAGAGTGATGAGCCGGGAATGGTGGGCTGGAGATGATGTTTGGGTGTGGATTGTAGACTTCACGGTTTGCCATGGAGGGCAGAATGGGTATGAGAAGTCATTCGTGTTGTTTGGCACACACATGCCCTCATGACAGGTTGTCCTTTCCGTTCATCCCTCGTGCAATCCCTCCCATTGAATCACATGGGTGCATGTGCGAGGGTGAGAACACCATTGTTTCTCTGCCTGCACTCCATGGCCCCCCCCCCACCGCCCCCCCTTCACCAGGCGGCAGTGAGATGTATGTGGCGGACAGTGAGAGCAGTGCGCTGAGAGCGCTCAACCTGCAGACAGGGGGCTCCAGACTCATCACCGGGGGCGACGCCAACTTTGCTGAGAACCTCTTTAAGGTCCGCCCGCCTGCTGCCTTGCCTGCCCAGCCTTGCCCGGAGGGCCGCCACCCTTTTCTCGTTGGCCCTGTGTCCTGCACTGCTGCCTCTCCTGCACGCCGTGCTGCCACTGCCTCGTTGCATCAGGTCGGCTATACCGACCTGCTGTGTGCCGCCTCACCCTTGCCCCACTCCCCCTCGCACCCCCCCCGCTCTGCAGTTCGGAGATCGCGATGGCTCCACATCCAGAGCTCTCCTGCAGCATCCACTTGGCGCGCTCTCATTGGCCGATGGCACAGTGCTTGTTGCTGACTCGTACAACCACAAGGTGCTCTCGCCACTTTGGATTGGATTCACCCTCCCTCCCAGTGCGCATGTGATTGCACTCCCTCGCCCCCACACCATCTCCCACCCGTCCACTGTGTACTAACTGCCCGTTTTCCACTCCTTGCTGCATGCCTCATGCCATCATGCCATCATGCCATCATGCCATCATGCCATCATGCCATCATGCCATGGCACCTCACCTGCAGATCAAGCTGGTGGATCCCACGCGCGGCTCTGTGGTGACGCTGGCAGGCACGGGCTCAGCCGGGGTCAGAGACGGCCCGGGGGCACAGGCACAGGCAAGCCGCGCTCTGGGTTTGGGGGAAGAGGGCTTAGGGCTACCCAGGGTGGCAATGGAAGAGGGATATGAGAGTTCTGTTGCCAAACGTCAAGATTTCAATCACTTGTCTCTGCCTCCATTTTTGGCCTCCCTGTGCCTTCCTCTTGCCCGTCCCTCCTTCCTTCACCTTGCAGTTGTCAGAGCCGGCAGGCCTTGCACATGGTCCAGATGGTATGGCAGTGCACACACACACACATGGCACACGCTTGATGATCACCTGCAGCACATGCCACACTGCCATGTATGATGGAGTTTGTGGACTTGGAGTCGATTCATCCGTTGCCCCTTTTTCCCTTGGCGTCTCCACCCTTAGCTCCTTCTCATCTCATTCCCTTTCACCCCACATCTCCCTTCCATTTTCGTCTCTTTCCTCCCTCCTCCCTTCCTCTCCCCCCTCTCTCCCAGGCACGGTGTTCATCGCCGACACCAACAACAGCCTCATTCGCTGCCTGCACCTCCCATCCGCCTCCTCCCCCACCGCCCTGCTCTCCACTCTCGACCTCTCCTCCCTCCCCCCTCCCCCCGCTTCCTCCTCCTCGGCCTCCTCTCAGCGGCGGCGCCTGCGGCGGCGGCAGAAGGCGGACGAGCAGGTGGTGGAGGAGCCCCCCGTGGCAGCAGCCACCGGCACGCTGCACCTCAGGCTCTCCATCCCCGATGACTACCACTTCACTGCGGTGTGTTGCGCCTTTCGTCCCGCAGCCTTGTCCCCTTTGACCCTTTCCGCTCAGCCGTCCTGTACTTCCAATCTCTCTCTCTTCTCCCTCCCGCTGCCACTGGAAGCTGCGCACCCGTGTCTCCCTCCACTGCCTCATTCCTTAAAGCCGCTGGTCTACAACCCGCCCTCTGCTGTGTGTGTGCCATGCATGCAGGGCGCCAGCAGCAAGTTCAGTGTGGAGCTGCCAGAGGCAGGGAGTGGAGGGGCAGCAGTGACTGTCACACCTCAGTCGGGTGATCTGACTCTATCTGGCTCGCTCGCCCTCGCCTCACTGGACTTCACTCAGGAGGGATCGCCTGACAGCAGTGGCAGCGCAGTGGTGCAGGTGCACTGCAAGGTATGTGCCTGCTGGAGTGCACTCTGTGTACCCACTTCACTGCTATCCTGCCACGACCCTGCCTCTCATTCATCATCCTGAGCTGTCCCTTGCATCCCACCAGGTGTACTACTGCCAGCAGGACGACCTGTGCCTCTACAAGGCTGTCAACTTCAAGGTCCCATTCAGCCCCTCTGCAGCAGCTGAAGCACGGGACGTGCAGCTAGTATTCGACATCACTCCTGCCCCACCAGGCAAGGCTCTGGTGCCAACAGCATGAAGAGAGACTTGCACAATACAGGCATAGTTGTACATTCTGCCAAGTTACTTGCATTCGGCCTATTCACATCCTCAAGGCTCCAGGGGTCAACCAAATTCCAATGCACTGTCGAACCAATCAGACTCGGTACCCAATCTTTAGGTCTGACTCAACGCTGGCTGGTTAGTGATGTAACCTCACTAATCTTCTCCACAGGTTCCCTACCAAGGGACTCCTTGCCCGCCGTGTGAGCAGCGTCCTCCATTGTGTGGCACCTGGTGTACTCGGTGAGGTACAGCGAGCGGGTGAGGGAGACAAGCACCAGGGACAGCGCAGAGGCCACCACACAGGCAGCAGCCATCACCAGGAACGTGACCCTGAAGCAGTGGGCTCCATGGCACATCAATGCAGGGCTGCCTGAGGCTGGTGCTGGCGCAGGGGCAGGGCCAATGGGGAAAGGTGGATCGGACGAGGACGCCTCCTGCTCTGCCTCGTAGTCGTAGAGGTACCCAGCGATGCAGACAGACAGGAGGTAGGAGCCAGTGGGGTTGGTGATGGTGAGCCAGTTGTAGAGAGTGCCGAAGTGTTTCAGCCCAAACACCTCGGAGGCCACGGCGGGCATGAGCCCCCACTGGGAGCCATAGGCAAGCCCAACGATGGCGGAGGCGATGTAGAGCGAGCCGGGCAGGGCAGACGCAAAGAGCAGGTGGCCCGCCGCCATGGCAAGCTGCGTGGCCGCCATGAAGGCAGGGCGCGGCACGGCCCTCTCATGCAGGAAGTGCTCGGAGATGTACCCCGCGCCCACGCGCCCCAGGAAGTTCCACACGCTCATGAGCGACACGAAGATGCCCACTGCGCGCTGCTCGTACCCCAGCGACCGCCCCACCTGCCCCAGGTTGTTGATGGCCGTCAGCCCCGAGCCTGAGGCGAGCGTCATGGCCGCATAGATCAGCCAGAAGGGCGCCGTCTGCACCGCCTGCCACAGTGTGTGGTCGTCCCCCACCTGCGGAAAGGTAGCAGAAGCTGCTGGATCCTCGTCGCTGCCATCATCTTGCTCTGACCACGCCTCGCTCTCCCTGGCCTTGAGCGGCACAGCATGTGATGCGCCTGCAGCGCGCACTCCACTGCCCGAGCTGGCCATCAACGCCTGCCTTTCCCCTTTATCCTGTGTGTGCCGATCAGCCATGGGTCTCTGCCTAACCACCACACGCCTATCAGTGCCCTCCTGCCCTGCTGCCTTGCCACTCAGCCGCACCTCCGAGCCACTGTCACCTGCGTGTGCTGGCCCTGACCCTCTCCCTTCCCTGCCAGCTCCCCCTCCTTCATGCGCCATCCCCTGACTGCCAGCGCCCTCCTCCACTGCCTCCCCTGCTGCGAGCCTGGCGGCGTGCGCGAGGCACTGCTGCTCGGCGTCCACCTCTTGGGTGACAGCGATGCGAGCAGGCCACGCGAGGATGAGCAGCGCGCCCAGCGAGATGAGCACGCTGACGTGCCAGCTCACCCGAACGGAGTGGTCCAGCAGGCTGGCGGCCAGCAGGTACAGCGCCAGGCACACGCTTGCCGCCAGCACCGCCATGAGGTTGCCACGCTCCGTGGGCTCGCTGGTGGGCGGGAGCTGGTGAATGGCGGGGGTGGCCAGGAGGGCCACCAGCGACGGCAGCCACGCCGCCATGAGGAGGAACGCGTCGCGGTCTGGCGCGTACAGCGCGAGGTAGAACTGCGTGAACAGCGCGCCGCTGAGACCAATGAAGCCCTGCCGTGGGACGAGGGGAGGGGAAGGCACGCAAAAAAGGGGGAACGTGAAGAAAGCACCAGAGCGGAAGAGAACGCTGACACGGAAACGGGGGAGGGAGCAATGAAGGACGGTGAATCCAGGTTGGAAAGGGAAAGAGGCGATACCTTGAGCAGGCCAACAACAGGGCCGCGGCTGTGCGGGAAGTTCTTGACGCAAGTGACGAGGCCCGCCGTGTTGAAGAAGGTGGCGCCGTTGGTGCCGACGCAGATGAACGCCATCACCACCCACACGGGCGGCTGCCACGCACCCACCAGCCTTCCCGTCAGGACCAACCACAAGAAGCCGTAGCCAACCAGGTTCAATACGGCACCGATCGCCAAAACGACCCACGTGGGTGCGATGTCGCCGACAAAGCCTGACACGATCCCTACGTTTCCGCCTATGTCCTTGGCCATGCCAACCATGTCGACAATCTGCTGGTTGTAGCCCAGCGTCTCCTTGAAGCTCTGCGAGTACAGCCCGAACATGTAGCTGACGCCTGAACACGCCTCCACCCACGACGCTGCCGCGAGACAAAACCATCGGTTTGAGAAGAGCGCAGCCCACCATCGCCGTTGTGACATGAAGCGAAGAAGCTTGGCGCCATAGAGTGGTGTGGTGCTGTCCCACGACGAGCCTGACAAAACTGCAGCCATGAGGTGGCCATGAGACAGACAGCCCAGACCAAGGAGGTGAGCCGAAATTTGCTCATTCAGTCTGGGCGGCAATTTCGACAACAGGGAAACTGGGGGTGGGAAGGGAACCTGACTGAAACGGGGTGAGTCTGAAACAGGGGGTCAAGGACGTGGAATTGGGAACCACTAGGCCTGTGCCACGCAACCATTCACGAAAATGACTGTCATTCTGTAACTCGGCCAAAATGGTGTCAACACAAATGCTTCGTCAATAATTTTCATCACTGCAACCACAGGTGGACAACAGCCCGTTCATGTTTGTCCAACTGGTACAATCAAGTTCCTCGGCCAGTTTCCAAATTTCGGAGTCCATTACCTCAAACATCAGCACTCGAATTCTTCGTTGTTCCGAAATGGCGACAATGCAAACGGAAAAGGCGTTTCGCCTAAACTTGAACGCCGCATCCGGGTCGTTAGCAGCTCTCTTGCTGGCAACGTCCACCGTCCTTGTTAGCATTCTTGCTGCCAGGTTCCCGTCTCGCACTGAATACTATGCGCAGCAAATGACGTGCCAGCTTTATTACAATCAAGGAGCTCCTAAGTGAGTTTTTGCAGAGCTCTCAGTTTCCATTCAAACAATACAGAGGGTTTCGTAACATCATATTCCTACTTCAACAGTGAGATCGAGTGCCTCAGCCGCTGGTGTGCGAATGCTGCAAACTGGCCATTTGCTCGCTGCAATGTTACTCAAGGGCTAAATGATGAAGGCTATGACCCATATTACAACCGCGCGTACCTTTCTGAAAACTTTCCTTTCGACAAGAGCAGCATGTCCCTCTCCTGGGCTACAATGGCTTTAATTTCTGTAACACTTGTGCTAGAGGTAAGCAGATTCACTCGAACTACCGCTGGACCTCCGCTTGTATGTTTCTTATAACCTCGCGACATTGCAGGTCATAAGCCAATTGCTCGACATGATCAAGCCGAAGAAGAAAGCTGTGTCTTACTCAAAACGATATCGCGTGTTCTTGCGTGGCTGCTGTGCGACGTCATGGTTCGTGATATTTGTAACTTGCTATCTGTTAGCAAGTTTGCCATAGTTGTATATCATATCGATTCCGCACTGCAGGATAAGTAGTGGAGTTGCAGACGCCTTGCTCATCTACGGATCTTCAAAGACATCAGGAGCCTGGGGATTGTACAACACAACTGCAGGATTGTGGATTGCCGCAGCTGTAATCAGCGGTATTTCATTTCTGTCGTCTTCCTTATTCCACTATCTGACACATCGACACCTGTGTTACGTTAAGACTACTCCAATATCAGGTATGTGGGAGCTTTTACTTGTTTAAATTTCACATTAAGCATCATGTAGCTAACGGATTCTAATCTCAACAGGAAACCTGGAAGATCGGCGGGGAGAACTGTCCTTGCAGAATGCAAATCAGCCGATAAACCAGCTTGAGGTGTCCTCAACGGGCCAGGCGGCAACGGGCGTCCCTGGCTCAATTTCAGACGCTCGCATACCAACCGGCTTAACACCAATCGCAGATGCAGCAACAAGGCACAGAGTATCGTCAGAACCGTCGCAGCAGAAAATGAAATCTAATGGAACCGAATTCGATCTGAAGGAGCTTCAAAGGGCAACAGACAATTTCTCTCCTAAAAACCTTCTTGGTCGGGGCGGCTTTGGCGAAGTCTACAGGGGTGTGTTGGCAGGTGGTCAGATTGTTGCTGTCAAGAGAATTCACAGCCATAAACTGCTGCATGGAAGAGACGAGTTCAAGTCAGAGGTGCGTCAGATCAATGAATGAACACGAACTCTAGCATTTCCACCTCGTCTCTGTACTTTGGCTGACCTAACAATGTGTTGGCTTCAGGTCGAGATTCTCAGCAGAGTCCATCACCGAAATCTCGTGAGGATTCTAGGGTACCACATTGGGGAGACAGAAGAACTCCTTGTGTTTGAGTTTATGGCCAATGGATCGCTTGACCACCACCTGCATGGTTAGTACGCAGTGTTGATTGTCATGCACTACGCTTGGACTGACCGAACTTCTTGCAGGCAAAACATGGACGACTATTAGCTGGAAGAGGAGGTTTCAGATGGCAATTGACGCAGCTAAAGGTTTGGTATGTGTTTGTAGAAAACAATTTATTTTTGTTTTAAATGAGCACCGTCCCAGACCGGCTGTTTGTTTCGAGAGCATGCCCCTCCCTCCCTTCCTGGGTAACAGAATGAAGATGTTAATGAGGTGATTGTGACGTGTCCTGGCCGTGCTGTGTCTTCTCAGGCATATCTTCACCATGACTGCTACCCAAAAGTGGTGCACCGTGATATCAAGGCCTCAAACATTCTCCTTGACGCAAGCATGAACGCTCAGGTTGGTGCATTGGCTCTTCTCATACATAAGTAGCACATGCTTCCACCTATGACATAGTTTCGGATCATGCAGGTTGGTGACTTTGGCTTGGCACGCTTGTTGCAAGATGAGTCTGAACATGTGACCACGAGAGTCATGGGCACCATAGGATACTTGGCTCCTGATTATGCATTCTCAGGGCAGTTGACTGAAAAGAGTGATGTCTACAGGTAACACCCTTTTGCCGTTGTGATTTATTATTTGAATAACATAGGTCATTCACAGCGGTATCTGAATGCTCTGTGCCATGCAGTTTTGGTGTTTTACTGCTGGAGCTCCTTACAGGGAGACATCCTGTTGATGTCACGGCTTCAACGTTTCAAGGCCAAAGTCTGGTAGAATGGGTAGGTATAAAATGTCAGCAGGGTTAGACTGATTGTGAGTCCAGCCTGTTATAAAACTCTATCCATTTGTTGCCGCCATCCGTTTTCCCTTATTCACTTGCAGGCATGGCAACAGACAAGCGGACCCGATACTATAAAAGACATTCTGGATCCACGGCTGGATAACATATACAACGCCAATGAGGCTTTGTGCATATGGCGGGTTGCACTGGACTGCGTTAATTACTTAGCAAAGAAACGACCAACTATGGACAAGGTAAGTCCATGAAGTCGAGAAGTGCTGGCGACTGTTTGCATTTATCATGTTGAACCCTTGTACAGGTCGTCAAGCTACTCCAAGATGCCAAAAGTGATGAACTTGTTCCACGTTCAACACATGGAGCGGATTCTTCACCAGTAATGTCCGGGGGGGCTGGTGAAATTGCCATCAGCAACAGCCCGCAAGCATCACGTTCTGGGCCGTTGAGTGCTGAAGCTGATTCGACATTTTCGTCCGCATTTCAAAATATTGTCGAAAGCCCTTGCACAGGGAATGCTTCCTCGAGCGTGAGTATGAATGATGAGGCTGAAGTTCCTGGTGAGGTTCAGTGGAGCCACCGGCTGGACATGCTGAAGCAAGCGAATGCTGCTAGCATTCCTACCACTGAGTGGCCTCATGCAGAGATGCCAAGTGGCATTGTCTCTGAGGCTGAAAGCGTTGAATGGAGCACTCGATTGGAACAGCTGCGGAAAGAGGCTCATTAGTGGAGAGGAGGTTTTTTCTTGGAGCCATTGGCATGAGAATTATTGCGAATTATGGTACTGTACTGTTCCTGTCACCTGGTGACGAATTGCCTGTGATCAAGAAGTTCATGTTTGGTACGTGCTAATCACGTTGAAGCATGTTCCAGTTTTACGTGGGGAGGGGACTGCTCCAATTCCTTTAGAGTGCTTCTGAGTATTTTTAAATTGCGTTACACCCATGGAGCAGAGACAATTCATCCGACAATATAAAACCACAATGGCCTGGAACCTGTCGACTACCTGACCGATGACTGGTGGCAGCACCTGTGCCAGAGGTCCACAACCAAGGTGGCTTTCCATTAGCACCTCTACAAGATTCTATGAGTACGCATCCTTTCGATAAGCACGCTTTCTATCAGCGTACTTCAGAGGTCTTCTAAGCGGACACTTCTATCAGCGAACTTGCACAATGCCTGCCGCAACCAGCTTTTGGATCTTGGCCATGACCATGGGGTTCTTCTGGTGCTGGATGGCCGCCTGAGGGTTCTCTTGGAAGTCTGTGAGCACCTGGCGCATGACTGGGTCTGTAAGAATGGACTGGATCTCAGGGTCTTGCATGGCCTTGGCCTGCCTCTCCTTCAGCTCCTCCGGCGCTATGTCCCCCCTGTTGGCCTTGCTGATCTGCTGCACACAACTGATGGGGCCAAGAATGGCCCACAACACGACACACAGGCATAGATGGGGAAAGAAGGGGTTGGCCAAACATCACCCACACAATAAGTGCCTCTCAAGTACCAAGCCATAACCCAATGCCCTAGTCAGCAGCTCAGCTCCTGATGCCACCCAGCAACTCACCTCCTGATGCCTTCCAGCAGCTCACCTCCTGATGCCATCCAGCAGCTCACCTCCTGATGCCTTCCAACAGCTCACCTCCTGATGCCATCCAGCAGCTCCTGGTTGCCTGGCTCCACCTTGAGGCCCTGCTGGTACGTCTCCATGGCGTGGTCATACTCCTTCATGAAGTACTCCGCTGCGCCCTTCCTCAGGTACCCCTTCACAAACGACTCGTCCAGCGCCAGACACTTCTCTGCATCCTTCTTAGCCTCAGGCATGGCGCCCAGCTTTATGTAGCACGCTGCTCGGTTGCTGTACGACTGATGGTGGGATGGAGGAGGAGGTTCAACAATGATGGTGAAAGACAGAGTACAGGGAGAAACCGGGTAAGACTACGACCATCGAGTCAGCATATGAGTAAAAAGAAGGCACTGGAGAAGTTACTTCATGAGCAGCAGCAGCATCATCATATGGCACATGAAGGCATACCTTGACGTCTTTGGGGTTCCTCTTGATGGCCTCGGTGTAGTGCTTGACTGCCTCGGGGAACTTCTGCTGCTTGAACTCCTCGTTGCCTGGACCGCAGGGAGGGGTGGCACAGAAAGAGCTCAGGTTCGGATCAACGCGGAGGAGCATGCAGAGAAGTGTGCCCATCAGGCACAGATGCGACGTCCACATTCGACTGTGACAGCCAACGTTTGGAATTGAGAAAAAATGCTCAGAGGCGATACCCTTTTCTCTCTCCTGGTCGGCAATGGCTGGATCGTAGTACTCCTGCTGCTCCAGCTCCTTCCTTGCTTTCTCCGCCTCGTTGAGCTTCTTCAGCGTGTCGGGATTGCGGTGCTCCGTGAGGGCCTGCTCTCGTGTAACAAAGGAGATGCACGCATTCAGGCAGGAAGGCGTGTTCAGAGATACAGCTGACACATGGTGGAAGAGCATTCATAGGCGGCACGAGAGATAGATAGTGCACAGGTGGAATGCAATGGTAGGAACTAGGTGTGGAGGAGGGCACAAGCGGATGGTTGCAGGGAAGATGAGGGGGGCTTGCCGACGCCACCTTATTGAATGCGGCGATGGCGGGCTCATAGTCCGCAGCTGTCTTGGCCTGCTTCGCCAGCGCTGACCCCTTGCGGGTGAGCGCCCGCGCCACAAGTTTGAAGTCCGCATGCACCTCGCGCCCGCGCTCCACCGCGCGGTCGCAGTCCGCGATGCACTCCTCGTACTGCAGGGGGGGGGAGGAGAAAAGACGGAGAAGGAGGGCCACATAGTGGTGGATTCGAGCGAGAGTGGCAGACGACAGAACGGCCTCTCCCACAGTTACTCCTCGACCCTTGACTCCCTCCCCGCAGCCGCGCCTCACCTTGCCCATTTCGAGGTACACGGCGGCGCGGTTGGTCAGGAAGGTGATGTCGCTGTCGTCCAGCTCCACGGCCCTGCTGTAGTGCTCCACCGCGCTCTCAAACTCCTTCTTCTTGTACGCCGCGTTGCCCGCCTCCTTCTCCCGCACCGCCTCCTCCCTGCGCCCCTTGGCTGCCCTCTCCTCGTCCGTCAGCTCCTCCTCCATCGCCTCCGCGCCTCCCGCCCCCTTCTCCTTCTCCTTCTCCTTCCCCTCCTTCCCCGCCCCGCTCTCCCCCCTGCCGCCCTCCTCCCCCCTGCTCTCCGCGGCGAACGCGGCGGCCTCGTCCGCGGACCCGGCGGAGCGGATGCTGATGCCGAGCGCGGCGCCCAGGACGTCCATCATGCGCGGGTCGCTCAGGTGCGCGTTCAGCAGCTCGGGGTTGTTCTGCACGGCCGTCAGCGTCGCGCGGAACGCGGGGTCGCTCAGGTGCGCGCGCGTGCGCGGGTCCGCGTGCAGCCGGGCCCAGAAGTCGGGACCCTGCGGCCAGGGGGGGGGGAGTGGTGGGCGAGACAGTGGTTGGCGCACCAGCCTCGTCATTTCCGCCCGCCTTCCCTTCATACTCTCCCTTCCACTCACCTGAAACGCCTTAGCCAGCGGGTTCCCCCCCGCGCCGCCCCCCTCGTCCGCGGCCTGCGCGGCCTTGGCGTCCGCCAGCCCCGCCTGCAGCACGGTGCTGGCGGGCTCCAGCGCTAGCCCGCGCTCGAACGCATCGACGGCGCGCGCGTACTGGCGCAGCCCGTGCAGCGCCGCGCCCAGGCGGCTGTAGCCCTTGGGCCAGTCGGGCCGCAGCTCCACCGTCCGCTCCGCGTCGCTCAGCGCGTCGCCGTAGCGGTGCAGACTCGCGTGCGCCGCCGACCGGTTGCTGCGCGCCGAACGACGACGAGAGGCGAAACGCGCGGGCGGTGGAGGGACAAGGAAGGTACGGAAGATGGTTGTTGGATTTAGAGATGAATGATCGAATCGCCAGTCGAGCAACGCAAGGGCGAGTGCAGTGAGGATCGGCGGGTAGTATAGCTAGCGAAAGCGCCTCGCGCCAGCTTTATGGCGCGAAGCATAGCGCGAGCTGCGGTGAGTGGAGGCAGGATAAGCCTGTGTGGAACGAAGGGGAGGGAGGGACGCACCTGTAGAGCACGTGGTTGTCGGGCGCCAGCTTTATGGCGTCCGAAAAGTGCTCCACCGCTTCCTCGAACTTCCCCGCTGAAAACGCGGCGTTGCCTCTCGCCTTCGCTTCGTCGGCCATGCTCTCACCTCCCCTCTCGACTGCTCAGATTCGTGACGATCAGGTACTTAGCAAGAAACGCAGACACGCGATCGACGCTCGAATCTGATGTATTAGTTCTGGACGGATCTGCAGGGCAGCTCTTATCTCCAGCACCTCCCTAGGCCACGGGGAACGGAAGCTCTAGGAACAGACGAGATGGAGGCGCACCTTTGGAAGCTCATCTCTCGAAGTTTCTAAACCGTATCCTCGATATTTGCGAAAGGTTCGACTAAGGATTGTACACTTCTTGACTGGAAACTTAGAATTATTGTACAAAAGGGAGAAGAGCAAGGAGCATGTCATTGTGCCAGTAAGGTGGTGCCTTGGGTAGGAAGGATCCCGGCATTGGCCAGTGTCTTGCTGATAGGCGATCTCAATCTGGTAGAAGACCCGGTATTGGATAAGTCCTCACGGCTGGGGTCGCTAGGGGAGAACCGTCGTCTGCTCCAGTGTTTTGGGTTGCACGACCTGAAAGATACCTTCCGTGTGTTGAACCCGCTGAAGTTGGAGTACACTTTCATGTTGTCCTCGTCGGCTGCCAGTTCCAGGATCGACCGGGCTCTTATCTCACAGAAGATCCTGCACCATGTGGTTGACGTGCATCACCGAGAAGCCCCGGACGGAGTGTCGGACCATTGCAGCGCCGTCCGCGTTCTTTTGCGCGCTAATGATATATAAGCAGCAGGGATGGAACTCTGGAGGCTGCCGGCATCACTCGTGGGACGAGAGCCTTGGTGGACAGAATCACAGAGAGACACATGTTGGAAGGGGGTGGGTCCTTTGCGGAGCTCCTTCAGAAGCTGAGTACAGGCCTGAGGATGTACACCAGGCAGGAAAGGAAGAGATTGAATGCGACGAGGACGCATCTGGAGAAGTCGTATCAGGGGCTGAGGCAGAGGTCGCTAAGAAATCCTCTCTGTCAAAGGCACAAGGACGAGCTGATGTTGCAGACTGCGAGACTGAAACAGTACCAGCACTCGGAGAGGGAGCGACTGCAGCTGTTGGCGGGGGTGAAAGCAAAGCCGAAAGGGGAAGTGCCATCCAAGTTCTTGTTTGGGAAGATTGCCGCGAGGAAGTCCAAGAAGATGGTTGCGGAAACAAACTGATTGCGCGGATGCTTGCGAACAGACTCAACAAGGTGCTGCCCAAGGTCATCTCGAAGGACCAGTATAGTTTCTTACTGTCAAACATATATTGTATGTTTCTGTAGACTATATAGGGTTGTGCCTTAGGGAGTACAACCCATTAGGTTATATTCCCTTGTATGCCTTGTTCTAGATATTCTTTCACTTGAATATGGTATCATGAGTAGGTAGGTCCCCCCCCCCCCCCCCCCCCTAGCGCTTCCGCCCTAGGTCCTAGCCGCGTCGTCGCCCCACGACCCGTCACCTAGCGGCCCCGCGGTCCCGTCGCCTAGCGGCCCTGCGGCCCCGTCCCCTAGCGGCCCCGCGGCCCCGTCCCCTAGCGGCCCTGAGGTCCCGTCACCTATTGGGCCCGCGGCCCCGTCCCCTAGCGGCCCCGCAGCCCCGTCACCTAGCGGCCCCGCGGCCCCGTCCCCTAGCGGGCCCCGCGGCCCCGTCCCTAGCGGCCCCGCGGCCCCGCGGCCCCGTCCCCTAGCGGCCCTGCGGCCCCGTCACCTAGCGGCCCCGCGGCCCCGTCCCCTAGCGGCCCCGCGGCCCCGTCACCTCGCGGCCCCCCCCTCCCAGCCGGCCCCGCCTC